ATTGTAATGGGAGAGTTTAGGGTAAACAATTAAGAAATATCATAAATAGTCCATACTGATATGTATTAGTAGTTATTAACTTGAAAAGACCAAATTTAAAATCGCTTTAAACACTTTTGATTTCAAGTTTGTGGATGAAATGATGACACCATTAAATAGTTAATGGGTTCTGAATTTACATGTCCTCAGAAAACACATCCTCTGGTGGATAGGACTGTGGTGGGGCCAGATCATACAGATCTCTAATAGACTGGATCATGTATTTGCGTCCCTTTTCCTGCAACTGGGTAAATATCCGTCCATCGCTTGTCCAATAAGAATGCACTTTTTCAGCACGTTTCGCACTTGCCAGTTCTTTGACAATTGATTGTCTGTATTTAGTGAGGTCTTCGGTTATAAATACAGTAGAGCCTTTTAGCATTCGTTTCGCTGTGTAGATTTTATTTTTAACTTTCCAATTTTTAAAGCGACATATAATTTGAATATTGCCGTCTTTGTTGGGTTTACCAATGGGATGTGACCTAAAAATGTCATCCTCTGAGAGCTCTATTGATAAGTGCTGATTGCATATAGAAATTATTCTAGCATCAGTGTCCGTGCCTTGGTCGGGAACCGGGCAATTGTGAAATCTTAAGGAGTTTCTCCTTCCGTACTGCTCTAGGTCATCTACTGTATCCTCAAGATTCCAGATTTGATTTTGTAGATCAGTGTTTTGTTCTTCATAATTTTTTAAACGCCCTGTCAGATCAACAATTTGTTTATTTTGTTTTGTAATTGTTTCAGCTTGGTTCTGAATTGTTTTATTTAATGAGCTGAAAACAGACTGGACTGCTAACTCGATGGAGGGTTTGATAGCTTCTGCAAGCACTGGTATTAATTGCGCCATAAAAGTTTGGCTGTTCATGGAGTTGAATATTAACTCTGGAAGACTGAAAGTTTTACCCTGAGTTTGGATAAAAGGGGGTTGCTTATCAGTACCTGGCTCCCCAATGTTTTCAGTAGCAGAAGAATTAGCATTCACAGATGAACTTTGATTACATTGAGAAAGATCTTTAGAGGCTGGGACGGAGGTGATTGTATCTTTCCCGTTCATTTTTTCAAGTTCAGTTTGATCACTAAGTTCGTTTAAATCTGGTAATGATGAAGATCTGAACCTTCTACGTGAGTTTTTAGATGAGCTATCAGAGGGACTATTGTGTTTACGTTTTGTACCCACCGATTTGGAATTTGACGACATGAGTAGAACTCACAAATGTTTATACATGCGGCAAGTACATTAAAGTTCACACCACAAAAACACACAAAATAGTCAAATGTTCTGCTTCAAAGTTTGTTTTCAATTAGAGATGCATCTTACTTAAGATAGAATACACACTAGCCTATTTATCAACACTCAGAAATACAATACTACCCCTTTTACTCTCCTTGGTCAAAACTAACCTCCTGCCATTTCCGCCATCTTTAATAATAATAATAAAAAAAAAAAAAAAAAAAAAAAAAATATTAATTGAAAGCCTGGTTGGCCCCCCACTTACCGAAAGTGTACTATAAGAATTGGTATTAAAAGTAGTTGACACTGAGAAAAAATTTACCTACCCCCCCCCCCCCACCCCCCCACCCCCCCCCCCCCCCACCCCCCCACCCCCCCGAAATAGGATTGTCGACTTTGGGCAACTTTTACCTTTTTTTCTTTTTTTTTCTTTTTTTTTTGTTTTTTGCTTGTCAACTATGATTTTTTTTTCTCTGGCTGCCCCCCCCCCCTTTCAAAAACGATATCGATGCTACGCCACTGCTTTAGAGCCACAATAGAGTAAGTAAATAATGCTAAATCAATTAATGTAAATGCTATTTATAGGAATTCAGTTAGGAAATATTTCTTTGTGTAAATTAAACTTTAAACTTGGGAAATTCAGTGTCAATGTCAGTGATGTGTATTCAGTCTTGTTTTGTTCTTTTCATTTGTAGCCTTTATCGTCAGATCATATATATGTCAACTGAATAAAAACGATGATTGAGACGTTATATAAGACTTAATATGTGACACTACCCTACCGAAAGGCTATGCAATACGAACAGATCTACCCGTGCATTTGAAGAGAAAGAGGGCAGAGCTGGCTCAAAAAGCATATGAACTCAGGAAATCAGGAATGAAGACGAGAATCCGTGAAACGAAAGACGATGTGATTCTGGAGTATCGACAAAAAGGAGAAAAAGAATGGCTCGCTTTTAGTGATTCCTTCTAATTGATCTAGATAAGAACAAGATTATTTGCAGGAGATGACAGGTTGTAGGAGTATGATATGGTGAAGGTTTTGTATATCTGTAAAGTGATGAGTTATGCTACAGTTGGTATCGTGTTGTTTACTTGTCAAATAATAAGTATGTTTTAGATGCTATTAGAAAGATATACTAAGGTATGCTGCAGATGTTTAAAAGTAAAATACCAGTGTTTTGAGCTTTGGATGATATCTGTAAAATTCAGAGTTATGCCTTAGTTGTTAATAACTTGTAAAATATTGAGAATTTTTGGTATCGTTATCTGTGAACTACTGTGTTATGTCATAGTTGATAACTTGTAACATATCTACATGTAGTATGTCTCAGGATATATATTTGTTTGGCAGCTTATGGTTTGCTGTATAAATTACATGGGGACATATTGGTTTTTTCTTTTTAATGTAATAAATACCTAAATTTCAACAAAGATTACAAAGATTACTGGTAGAAGTTCTTAGAGGAGCTTGTATTTATTATTATTTTTTCTATGAGAGAACTACGGTTCACTATCTTATTTAGGTGGCTAAGTTAAATTAAAAAGACCCAATGCGATGTAATACATGAATTTTCTTGATTTGTTTTGTTACCATACAGGAAGTATTTTTCATTTTTGATATATGTGTGAAAGAATGGAGAGTATGCAACATGCATATTTTTTTGCCTTTATTCAACTGTGTAGTGTAATCTATGACTAAGTTAAAAATTACTTCTGTAAACTGCAGAGGTTTACATGATTCTATGAAAAGAAAGGATGTCCTAAACTATTTAAGAAATTTTAAATCATCTATTTATTGTTTACAAGACACCCACTGTACAGAATTAGAGAAAAATTTAGTTTATGCCCAATGGGGTAATGACATACTCATCAGCTCAGGAAAATCAGATGCAAGAGGGACTTTAACCCTTTTTAATAACACAAATGAAATAAAAATTTCTAAAGTTTATAGTGATAATGAGGGGAATTTCATTATATCAAATATAATGGTGGATAACAAGTACTCAATCACTTTGGTTAATTTATATGGTCACAATAAAGATAATCCTAAATTTTATGCAGAAATAAGTGATAAAATGGATGATTTTTTTGATACTGACTTTATAATTATGTGTGGAGACTGGAATGTAGTACAAGATTACCAGTTAGACTGTTACAATTATGTTAGAGAAAACAATCCCAAAAATAAACTTGAAATTGAAAAATTAAAATCAAAATTCAATTTAGTAGATCCTTGGAGAATCAAAAACCCAGATGCTAAAAAATATACATGGAGTAGGAAGAACCCAGTAAAACAGGCTAGACTTGACTTTTTTTAGTATCAGAGGAACTCTTATCAATTATAAATGATGTTCACATGATGCCAGGCTATAGGACTGATCACTCTATCATAGAATTAGATGTTACTATTAATGAATTTAAACGTGGAAAGGGTTTCTGGCGTTTTAACAATTCCTTATTGAGAAACAAAGAATTTGTGACAAATGTAAAAAAAATTATAAGGGAAACGGATAATGAATATCGTATTGATGAATCAATGTTAGGAATACCAGATAATCTTTTTCTTGATGTTCTATTAATGAAAATAAGGGATTTGGCAATACAATTATCTGCAAATTTGACCCGAGAAAGGAGGGATCACAAAGCAAAGATTGGAAATCAACTTAGAATTTTACATGATATGTATAATGATTAACCTTTGTCAATTTATCTAGATATGATAAGTGACCTTGAGACAGAATTAGAGGAAATTAGAAAATATGAATTGAAGGGGCTATTGTTAAGAAGTCATTGTAAATGGATAGAAGATGGGGAGAAACCTACAAAATATTTTTGTGCCTTAGAAAAAAGAAATTTTGTCAATAAAAATATTAGCAATTTAATCAATAATGATGGTAAATATGTAAATAAGCAAGCAGATATCTTAGAAGAAGTAAGGAACTTTTACAAAAAATTATATGAAAACAAAGATCAGGAGCTTGATGATGTAAATCTTGAAGACTTATTCCAAAACTTTGAGGTTCCTAAAATAAATAATGATATGAAAAACATTTTAAATGCTGAAATTACAAAACAAGAAATACTTCAAGCTCTTAAAAATTTTAAGAACGACAAAACACCTGGAACTGACGGTTTTACAGCAGAATTTTTCAAGTTTTTTTGGACAGATATTAATTCATATATTCTCAAATCCTTTAATTACAGCTATGAAGTAGGTCAATTATCTTATACTCAGATGCTTGGAATTATTTCTATTCTACCAAAAGGCAATAAGCCAAGGGAACAATTAAAAAATTGGCGACCAATTACATTATTGAACATTACATATAAACTCTTATCTAGTGTCTTAGCAAATCGAATGAAACCAATTCTGTCAAAAGTAATACATGAAAATCAAAAAGGGTTTCTTGCTGGTAGATATATTGGTGAAAACTCAAGGTTATTATATGACATCATACATTATTGTAAAGAGAATGATCATTCAGGTCTTGTTCTATTGATTGACTTTGAGAAAGCATTTGATTCTATTTCTTGGAGATTTATTTTTAAAGTTCTCAGATTTTTTAATTTTGGTGAGAATTTTTTAAAATGGATAAAGATTTTGTTTAGAGAACCTAAGTTATGTGTTATTCAAAATGGTATTTTTTCTGAATTTTTCCAAATGGGACGAGGTTGTAGGCAAGGTGACCCAATTTCACCTTACTTGTTCCTACTATGTGCAGAAATAATGGGAATTATGATTAGAAATAATAAATTAATAAAGGGCATTGTTATTGAAGATAAAGAATATAAACTACTACAATATGCTGATGATACAGTTTTATTAATGGATGGTTCAGAAGACTCAATTAGATCAGCTTTGTCTTTAGTCAATCAGTATTCCAAATTCTCTGGACTGAAGCCAAATTATGATAAAACTCAATGTATTAGGATTGGATCTACTGTTCATACTGATGATAACTTGTGTGATAAATATCAAAACTTGATGTGGTCACAGGAACCATTTACAGTGTTAGGTATAGCATACTGTGTAGATCTAGACACAAACACTATGTTTGATTTGAATTTTTTGCCAAAGATTGACTCTGTCAAAAAGCTTATATCATCATGGTCTAGAAGACATTTATCAACGGCAGGTCGTATAACAGTAGTAAAAACCTTGCTTTTACCTAAATTTAGTCACTTATTAATTAGTTTACCGAGCCCTTCTAAAGAAAAACTCAAAGAAATTGAAGCTATATTTTTTCATTATATCTGGAATACCAAAACGGCTAGGGTGGCTAAAAATATTATATGCCAAAGTTATGAAAACGGTGGTATGAGAATGACATGTCTTGATTCATTTTGTAAAAGTTTAAAAATTACATGGATTCGCAGATTGTTTGATAGTTCATGTAAATCAGCCTGGAAAGAATTGCTAAAAGATTTAATTCCTGACATTAAATATTTAGTTATCTATGGTAGGGATTTTTCAAAAAAACTTAAGAAAGATACGGAAAATGTTTTCTGGAATGATGTTTTTTCAGCATTGTTGGATTTGAGATTATGTATTGATGATCAAACATCTATTTTAAGTCCCATATGGTATAATCCATCAATATGTATAAACAACAGAAGTGTTTGTTATAAGTCATGGCTGAGACAAGGTATACAATTTGTTTTTGATTTTTATGATACAAATGGGACTTTGTTAGGATACCAAGACTTTTGTAAACAATATGATTTAAAAACACCTTTTACAATGTTTTTAGGCATAACAAATTGTATTAGAAAATTACAGTTGAATTATGATCATAATATAATTCAAAGAAATCAACCTTTCTTCCCAAAATTCTTACAAACAATAACAAAAAGCAAACAAGGTGCAAGAGATTTCTATGATGTTTTTATTAGTCAGAAATACAAAAAACCAAAAAGTGAAATGAAATGGGAAAACATTTTAGAACTTAATGTTGATGAATTTTGGTGGAAAAAACAAAACACTCTGTTTTTTAACATAACCAGGTCCAGCACAATACCCCGATAAAGGTATATAGCTTGATAAAGCTATATAGCTTTATCAAGGTATTTAAAATACCTTGATCAAGGTATTTTATGTAATGAAAATTCAAAAAAATTCTTTAAAAATTAATTACTGAAAGTCGAGTTCTGAGTTTTTGACAGTGTGTCTATTCGTGCATGAAAAACACTCTGGTATCAAAAAGAAAGCATAAAATAACGTCTCCTCTTACGACACGTTTTAATACTGATTTGTTTGTGTTTGAGTACTTTACATGCATGGGTGAATTTACTGACAACAACTCAGAACTCGACTTTCAGTAATTAATTTTTAAAGAATTTTTTGGAATTTTCATTACATAAAATACCTTGATCAAGGTATTTTAAATACCTTGATAAAGCTATATAGCTTTATCAAGTTATATACCTTTATCGGGGTATTGTGCTGGACCTGATAACAAATGATATACAGTTAAGATGGTTCCACTATAGAATTGTACATAGAATTTTAGCTACAAATACATATTTACACAAAATTGGTGTTACTGACTCAGATTTATGTAGTTTTTGTAAGAAACACCCAGAGACACTTTGTCATCTTTTTTGGGAATGCGAGTGTGTTGCAGAAATTTGGGAAAATGTACTGGATTGGATGAAAGAACAGTTTGGAGTTGATATATCTCTAAACAAAGTTGATGTTTTGTTGGGAAAACATTATAAATATAACAATATATTTAATTTAGTAGTATGTATAATAAAAAAGCATATTTATAGAAATAGATGCAAAAAAATGTGTACCATCTTTTGAGAAGGTCAAACAAGAGGTTATGTATTATTTTAATTGTGAAAAATATATTTATAAGAAAAATGGGGAAATGGACAGTTTTAAAAAACGATGGAATTTGATAATGTTTTAATATGATTAATATTTTTGAAAAAACAATGCAGTTACAGATGTACAACAACTTTTCACTGATTATATTAAGATTTCAGTTGTTAAATATTATTATGAATATAATCATATGCATGTTATGTAGCGAAAGGTGTGTGAATGATATGTGAAAAAAATGTCCTGTCACATTATGATTGTGTAATATATATGTGTATTATGTATGTTACTTAGTGAACCCAGGGCCCCAACCCTGGCACTAAGAATTGTATTTTAATATTTTATGGTATAATAAAAAAAAAATTAAAAAAAAAAAAAAAAAAAAAAGACTTAATATGTGTATAATCAGGACATTCTGTTATATTTTAACTAGTGTTGGGAAATCGGACGATTTTTAGTAACCTTTTACTCGCTTCGTCTTACGATCGAGTACCCGGTTACTCGGATGATTTTTGGTAAAAGTATCAATGTCTATAATTTATTTTATCCAATACTAATAGGTATTAGTACTGCACAAATATACTGTATAGGGAAATTATATTTACAATACATGCATACGATAGCGTCAAAGTTTTACGATTTTAAAATAAAGAAAATTAAAAGGGAATTCGACCCAAAGAGGCAAATAAATACTTCATCGTCAATCACCATTTTAAACTTTCTTTTTCAGCCTCCGAAATATGTTGCAGTCAAGGGGGATAATTATTTACATACTCCATAATTAATAGTTGATATGTGGAGTGTCCAGTAGCTATAGATTGCTGGTTTCCGAATAATTTAATCTTAGGTGAATTAACAGATTTTGAATCAGCTGTTCTTTTGTTACAACTCCAAGCTTAATATGTCTGCGGCGGCATCTCGTTAAATTATCAAATTAGGTAATTATAACTGAGGCCTTCAATATATGTATACCCCAAGCAATCAAAGCTATCAATTATATAAACTGTGAAAACTAATCAAAACAATTTGATTCACTACAACCATACACTAAATCAAGTCAAACGGTACCTAAAATTAGGGAAATGTGTAAGTTAGTATACATTTATAAATTATTAAACATTCATTTTCTATGCCTTTACTATATGTAGAAATTATTTTATCCGAGTTTTACCAACTGATACTCGCAACGTTCGACAGTTTATCGGTTAACCGGGTACTCGTTGCCAACACTAATCATGCTAATTTTAACCTGAAAAAATGATAAGAAAATATGGCAAAAATCTCATATTCATGCAGGCCCCGCTGACCAGCACTGAAAGAATGGGGTATTATAAAAATTAAAAATGTAAGAACTAAAATTAATTAGGACGTTCATAACTACATGTACCTTCGCAACTCTGCCAATTATTCATAATTTCTCAGAAAAAATCCTGATATTGGTTTGATGCGCAGTGCACAACAAAAGCGATTTCTCCTCTTGTCCTTCGTCAACTTATCTTATTGAAGTACTCAATGGTAATTTTCAATTTAGCCACACACAAGTTTAATTCAAGCACACAGAACATGCAGAATATTGTCCCATTATCTGAATTACATGAATTTGATGTCTTACTACTATTGTAGGGCACTGTCCACGTTATATGTCTATTATATACTATTATAGTAATGATTATAGCTGTTACTTTTTTAGGGATAAATGTAGCTTTCCAAAATAGATTCTAGCTATGAAATTATGATTGAGGAAAACTCAGAAAAGATGCAATATATACAGAACGTTCTGACAAAAAGTAATTGCATTATACAATTTCACTTCGATGCTTTATCAGTAAATTAGGTAAGGTAACTAATACTTTACTCCTTGAATAATAATCGTACAGAATAATAAGGCCTTTATTATCATGGAATAAATCAAGGATTATGAATGAGCTTGTGATAGTATGTACCACTTAGTGCTATGTGTAGCATGTCCTATTAACATTTCAGCACCACGCATGCATACGTTGTATTAAAGATAAAATTATAAAATAATTATGAGGAAACATTGTTCTGACCCCGAAGTCAGTTAGAATTTGCTCTCTTAAGAGAAAGGTATTATTTTATCGAATAGCTTATAGCAATGGTAAGATAATTTTTCTTATTCCAATTGAATTTCTTTGGTGAGATTTGTAGTGGTCGATGATTTTTTTTTTACATTTATTATATATTGGTGTCGTTGTTACCTTAGTCGAAACAGGATTTCAATGTAAGATAGACTTCCATTTGGAATTGCAAAAATAATATCCATTTCAATAAAAGAAAATCTCATCTAACTTGTTATATTTATAAGATAATTTTGTTAATCAACAGGTCAACATAAACTTACCTCTGAATCTTTCTACGACGGAGACACCAATAAATGTCACCGGAAACTCTACCTTCCAGAACACCACATCGGGTTGGAGCGCTAGATGGCATGACCGGACTCCTGTCATCCTGTCCGTTTCCACCATCAGCTTAGTAGCAGTATTCTCCAATCTAACCCTGCTCCTAATCATTCTCTCCAGGAAAGAGCTCCGCTCCGTTGTCTTGCTTTGGAATGTTGCCGGAATGTGCGTCTGCAATCTAGTTTTTGGTACAATCACTAATGCGCTTGGTGACAGCCGCCACATTTACAATGAGTGGTTGCATGGAGCTGTTCTGTGTAAACTATTTTCTGTGTTCAAACTTTCCTCCACTCACATCATGAGCATGATCCAGATCACCATAGTAACCAGCCTCTTCCTGAAGGTTCGGCAGTCACTCTCTCGCCCATCTAACATCACATCACGAGTCTGGCCCGCAATTCCATACTTTCTGTTTGCGTTACCATGGCTTGTTGAGGTCGCCTTGTTCCCCATGATTATACTTGGAGAAATGAAGAACCTGCCTGATTTTGCAAAGAAATACAGTTCTCTGATGTGCTATCATTTCATGGAGCGAAATTATCGTTACGCCGGAGTGTTCTTGTTCAGTTTGCTTTTCTTTATTGTTGTCATCCTCAGTATTGCTCTTTTCCTGTACTACCGATTCAAGAAAGCGTCATATGATCGTCTGCTTGCCGATGACGCGGTGCGTCACGATGAAACTCTACATTCAATGTTGATTGCGACTCTCGGATCCTCGACTGTCTTTAGCTTGTTCTTTGCGCCTTACATACTGAATATGCTGATCATTATAACTTGCAGTCGTTCTTGGTGTCGCCCGAGTATAAAATCTTTTGACGCTGTATACGTTTTGGGTTGCGTTTCCTACGCACTCACGCCTATACCTTGGTTTGCCTACGTCGATATTAAGTGCGTTTTCACGGAACTCTTGAATAAGGTGAAAGGTAAGGTGAGATCATCCTTGTCCCAGTGTAGGGGGTGTTGTAGAACGAGGCTGGAATCCATCACAGTGGAGTGGTCCCAGAGTCAGTCTGACGTCATGAAACGGGGAAAATAGAGACTCTAAATATAAACTCAAATTCTGTAATTCAAATCATTATCGTATACAACTTTGAATATATTATGAAAAACAGTTTTATTTATTTGAATGTATTTTCCTCATCACATGCATAACAAATGTGACAAGTGACTATATTTGTTATCAACTTGATATCCACTCGGATCAATTTTCGAAACTTGCTATTTTTTTTACAATGCGTTTGCCATAATGACGATGAATTATAATTAAGTCATTATTTAAAAAAAGGTTTATTTCATAGTTGTTTATCTTCAAATATACATGATATTGATGCAATAATACTATACTTGATACTATTCTTTAAGATCTAATTATCAATATCAGTGGTTTAAGTAATATTTTTGTAATTACTGAAATCCAAATTTCTCTCCGAGTTTACTGTTAACCGACGTTTATTCGTGTAAAATCTTAATTTGTGAAATTTATGTCAATCATAGATTGGAAATCAGTCCCCGACGATCAATCTTTCGCGACAGAGGAAAACAAATTCTACAATTACAAAGCAAAAAAAAGGCTCCAAGAGATTCATTTTTGGTGGTAAGAGTAGACCGCGAACCAAATAACACTTAATGTGCAGAAATCACTTTGTATAAAAAAAAAAGATCGGCTCACATATTGATAAATTTGTATCTGCAGAGAGGGAGAGAGATATATCAATTTTTCATTCAAAAGGTTTCTACTCAAGAACGATAACTTATCTTGCCCATTTACAAGGGCGATAAAAGTGTGAGATAAACATTGTGTTGTATAATTAATCAGCGTAGATTTTTCTTCCCTATTATGTGACAGAGTGAAAACGTTAAACTTAAATATAGGACATCTTTCATAAAATAAAAAAAAAAATTCTCAGCATATACGGAGATTTAATATCATTATTACTTATTCATTTTTATCATGAATGTGAAATCTCTAATTAATTTAAAGTTGTAGTTTATTACTTAGTTTATTATTATTATATTCATAATAAATTAAATTTTATTGTGGAACTATAATAGTAAATGCATGTACATACATGTATATCATGTGAAGACGTATGAAACAAAATAGAGAAGTGCATTATTTCTAAAATTAATCATGTTGATTGCGTTTAGTTTATCTGTCGCAATTACTGAAAATATTTTAAATAGTATAGGATTATTCTTTTATGACAGAAGAGACTTCGAAAATCGCTACTCAACGATCCAAGATATGTAAATATTATATATTCATAATTTACAAAAAAAAAAAAACGATCTATTATACCCTTCAGATGTTTATAGATAGGCCTGCTAAAGAAAATAAGTAATTTTGGACTGTATGTACAAATGTGTTGTAGTGATACATGTAAATACATAATTTGAAATAAATTAAAAGGCAATGTCTGTTTTTATCTTCTTTTTTAATATTAATTTAATTGTGACTGTGTCATGGCACTTTTGTGCTTCGCCACAATCCTTTTTTTTTACTTCATCTATACATGTAAACTGACAAAAATTATTTTGCACGCGGTCCATTATACATTTATTGGTCATTTGAGTCGCGCTACTTTAAATTCGGTATGCCATTCCTTTTTTTCATCTTACATTTATGATTAATCTTTAAGATGAAGAGAAAATTAAGCCTAATGCTGAAAATGTTAAATTTTGAACACACAGTGAAATTTGACATAAATTATATCTTTTAACATGTCGTTTATAAAAATCACCTCTTTCATTTCTCAAGTGTCTGGTCCAAATTCATGATCTGTACATAAATGTTACAAAATCTGTTTACAATCGTTCAGACCTTTGACTTGCATAGAGCATGCTGAGTACAGGTAGAATGATTTTATATAAAAATTAATAGATATTTTGAAATTACAACTAACATGACTAAAATAAATAAAACACAAAAATTCTATACGCAATATATTTCATGTATAATTAAGGAAGAAAATTATTATTATTTTTATATAATAATTATTTTGATTAACGGGTTGAAGGATGTGAGTCACGATTTGAACGGTCAGAAATGAAATAAAATTTTATAAACTTTGATAATTTGTTTCACGGATCCTAACAAATTGATTTGATTGTGTGTTTATTATTACATATTATATTGCATTACATACCTCTCTATAGTACATGATTAGAATATTTCCCTGCATATCTAATAGCGGGAATTAAAGTTACAGATGTGCAACGCAGGTATCTTTTGAGTTAATTTTCAAATTAATTTGAAAAAGCGAGGGGTAGGGTAGAGGGATTTAGGAGAGCGGGGGGGGGGGGGTTATGAAATATTTTTTTTTGATTTCATACTGGCGGATCGAGTAATGTTATAATGTTATTAAAAGTATTTCTAATTATTTCTTTTTCTTGTAGAGGGTGGGAATAAGGTGCGGCGGCGGGGGTGTTGGTCATATTAGTCATATAACGTATTTTGAATTTTCATTATGAAAATTATCAGCGGGGGAGAATATATGTAATACCAAGTTCTTTATCTTACATCTATTATTCTCGTTTATTTTCAAAGTATGCCAAATGCTTTTCATGTGGAATCGACCTATTTTTGGTATTAATTTTCACGATATTGAGCTTTGAGTTTTAAAAATCTAAGTCCTTTGCTCGTGAACTAGGCAGTGAATCAGTTCCGACTCTTACGTCTGACTACCGGTGTTTGTCATTGAGAGTGACCATTATCTGAAGCAATAGCGGAAATAGACAATCTCTCTTCCATCGCCAACTCACTATAGTCACTGTACAATTGTCATATACGGTGAGTTAATACACAAGGAAAATTCAAAATAGACGGTATTTGAAAATTCTCATTATTTGTCAAACTTGTTTTGTGATTCAGTTAGATGGGTATGCTCACTTGAAACTTAATCAAGGTTAGTATACTAATATTTTTTGTTTGAAATCGATGTTGACATGTGATTATAAATATGTGTGAAGATGATACTACATGTATAATCATGAAATTTGTTTTTTTTTTAATTTGATGTTAATTCTGTGATATTAACATCAAAAAAAACATTTATTGAATGTAAATGAGGGCACAGTCAAAGGGTGCTTGTATTAGGGTGGGATGGGGTGGGGGTGTTGTAGAAAATCATATTGGTCATATAATTCATGCATGAGAATATAATTTTATTTGATTTGAACATATTTTATTATGCAAATGCATAAATAGATTGGGCAGCAGGCATAACCTATATAAGCCGTCTCCATAGGTACAAGGTTAATTAATACACATATAGTAACAGGTTAATTTATATATGACCAATAAGTTATATATAGCTAACACAAATTTGAATGGAGAATGTAATTATTGTATAAGGTCTTTAAAATATATATGTACATTCTCTTTTCCCACAAGGGCTCTTAATTGGCCAGTAAACTTAATGAATTGAATTAAATTGCGTTGAAAATAATTAAGGAAGTTTGAAATTAAAAAGTTCGAACTGCTACACACATCGCGAACTTTGTTTGGGTAGAGCTCATGAATTTATGAATATGATACATGCATATGCAATGAATGTATTATAAATGGTGGAACATGTAACCATGAAAAATGCTAATGAGGAAGAAGGATATGGAGATAATGAACAGTATTCAGTCTCAAAGTCCATAAAACAATAAAAATAGTAGAAGAGCAAACACGGACCCCCGAAACATCAGAGGTGGGATCAGGTGCCATGGAAGAGTGAGCATCCCCTGCCAACCGGTCACACCCGCCGTGTGCTCCTTGTCATGATCAGGAAATAACGAAAAAAATCTGTCGTCAGTTCAGTGTATAAATAATGGACTAACAATTGGTATGAAAAACGCCAGACAGCATTTGACTTAATGTTAAATTGTATTTGCTGACAAGGTCATTGTATCGACCATAGAACTTACGAAATGATGACTTTAAACGAGACTGCTGATATCCTTGTTTCATCAACTTGCTTGTCAATAATTTACCTCGTTTTAGAAATTGTTCATACGTAGAGCATGCTCTTGCGTATCGAATCAACTGAAGCTCAAGTCCATACTTATTAAGGGGACATGGACACAGTTTCAACTGATTTTTTAAACCAATTTGAATGTTTACAATTCCTAGCCAAGGCAATTCTAATGATCAGCAGTTTCAAAAATTTGAACATTATTTGTTGATTTACAATGAGAGATACAGAAATTAAAATTCTTTATGATGTAAATAAGGATCGTGCTTTGTTTTTGTTTACATGCAGAAAATATCATATTTATTAGAAAAAAAAGGTTCAGCAAATCAACAGAAACTAATCGTATTTAGAATTAACTTCTTCATTGAAAAACTTTACTTTGAACGAACATACTTGTATATTCATGTATTAGTGTATGTATATTTAACCTTATGTAAACAAAAAACGTGACACGGGCTTTGTTTTGATAACAAAGGTTTGGAGCTTTTAATCAATCTTGTATCTCAACAACTGATATTCATATTTTTGGTGATCATGAGAAATGCTATTGCTTGATATTTGTAAATATAAAACATGAAAAAATATTTTTTAAAAATCTTTAGCTGTAACTGAGTCCATGCTCCTTTAAGGACAGATGATACAAAGAAACTTTGTCAAAAAATTGAAAATAACAACTTGAGTCATGTTTTATTGAGTTAAATGAATAGGTTTTACTATGGAATGCCATATACGACAGCCAACTGCTTACTGCCAACTGCTGACTGCTTACTGCCAACTGCCACATATATTTGAATAAATTTTATTTTTATATTGATATTTATGTTAATTTTAAAAAAAAGGCGCGGATCTATAGGACATTTTTTCCAAGAGGGTAACTCTGGTAAAAAAAAAAATCCAACCCAGAAATTTCTTGACAAGAAAAAAATACGTAAAGTCCTTTCCTAAATTTGAAAATTTATTTCGGCCGGGGAGAGGGGGTTCTTATGCGTCATACCTTCATGTGTATGACAATTTTCATACCAACTTAACACGAATCCACATTTTCGGTAAGGGAGGGGGTTGGGGTGGGAGGGGGTTCTAAGGTCCCTTTTAGTTGATTTAGTTTATACATAAATAACTTTAAGTTGGTTTAGTTTGTGCATTAAATAACTTAACAAATTTCATTGGGGTGTTCTGGACCCCTCTCTCTAGATCTTTGCATGTAAAACATATTTTATTTGTACAAACAGATATAAATGTTTGATCGGCGTTTTCTAAGTGGAGGGTCCAAGGTCAGTTATACCGGTAGTTCGTTTAGTTTATTTAACGCATGACTGTACAAATTTTAAATGCTCCCCCCCCTCCATATCTATGCATGTGAAACATTATAACATACAGAGATATACATCTTTAATTTGAGGAAAATTTTAACTATAGAATATAAAGGAAAACGGAAATTTATTTTCAAAACATCTTTCTCTGCGAAACGACAAATCTTTTTTATTATTATTCTCTCTTCAAAGGTTTTGTTGTCTTCGGGGGATGGGGGGGGTCTTCTTTAAATATTAAAAGCAGAAAATAGTCATTTTATTACCTATTTCAAAGAGGAAAACAAGTAAAAAAAAATAAAACAATGTACTTTATCAACCGCATATATTGAATATTACATATTGGTTATTTTATTCAATTCAATTTTCCCAGGGTGACCCCCTTGGAAAAAATGTCCTGGATCCGTGCCTTTTTTCCCCTTTATTTGTGAAAATTCAAATAAATATCAATACAAATATAAAATGTATTCAAATATGTGTGGCAGTTGGCAGTAAGCAGTCAGCAGTTGGCATTAAGCAGTTGGCTGTCGTATATGGCATTCCATATTTTACCGCGCAGTTTTTATTTTTTTTTTTTTAAATTTTCACTAAAATGGGATTTGATGCGAAAAATATTTGTCTAGATTAATAAGGATGGTTTCAGAGTGGCAGAATTTTGAACGTCTTAGAAGGTTTACATTTTCTTAATATTCTATATATAATCTAGACATCCATGTTTTGTCTGTATCTTCTGTCCATAATATATGATAAAGCCTAAGAAATACGACTTATAAACATGATCATGGGGTATTTAAAATGTGGTATAAATTTAAAAAGCAAACATATTTTATATTTCTTAAAAAAAATCATCAGTATTATTCGTCCATACTGTAATATTATATATGATTCAAACTGACTAAAATCAGATCCTCGATCCGCTCCTTTGTTTTTTAATTGTCCCTACACGAGATAGGAACAAATCGAGGAAATTATTTTAATCAAAGTGAGTTGTGTTCATGTGTTCATGATTTAGAGCATAATTAAAGGTCTCTGTTCAAAGAGACTGGTCTGTATCTATTTGATTGTGTTTTGTTTTCTAGAAAATCATCATAATCTGTTTTTTAATAAGAGAATGGTTTGTATCTATTTGATTGTGTTTTGTTTTATAGAGTATCACAATGACCTACTTTTCAATGACACTGGTGTTGGTATGCGGGATTATCGGGATCGTATCCGCCCTGGAGGGTGACAATGTCTGTACACGTTCTGTCGCGTATGTATATATGTGCACATATAGGACCATATTTTCATGCACCTTGTTTCAGGGAGGTGAGGGTGGGGGGGGGGGGGGGTGCAATCCCCTGACCTTGCTTGGAGCTTGGATAATAATGAATTGCAGCTAAATTGAAATGAAAAACATTCTTGAAATCTGTTTTTTCTACACCTCCTACAATCGAGATGGACAAAATTATTTTATCGAATAGCGGAGACTTACCCTTTTTTGCCGTTGAATCAAAAGATCCCGCGGGGGGGGGGGGGGGGGGGGGTTCGTCTTGTATGTCTGTTTGTCTGTCTGTCTGTAGTAAAACTCAACCTAGCCTTTAACTCTTGCCCTTTGAAGTATTAGTGTGTACGAGTATCACTTCAGTCAACGTCCCACTCAATGTCTGTGTTACCATCGGGGGCATAGAATTCACAAAAACATCTTGTATGGCTTGTAGACTCTCGTCAACATAATTTTCTTACCCCTTTCCCCACAATTTAAAATGCAATAGTACATGCTTGCAACCACATATACATTTTTTTATATATTTTTCATATATTCTAAAAAATTAAAACTACATATACATGTTTTAAATCGAGAAACAAAAAGTACTGAATGTTCATTAATATTTTTTCAACAGATAAAAAGTGAAAATTAAATTTTATTATTTCAGTCAGAAAGTTTCGTACATAGAGACAAGAAGGGTATCTAAACAAAGATGCAGCACCCCTACAGATTGTAAAACGTAAGTGTCAAAGTTCACCTGATAGTACTACTGTAAGACGCGAGTTTTACTTTAAAATACATCTAACAATTCAAAGGCGTGAATCAATATTAATTCAAATACTAAATTCCATCCGCTGTATTATTAAGAAAATTGATGTGCTTGAAATGACCAGTTACTAGGTAGCTATAGTTAATCACATTTTACGTCCGTTAGTTAAGTAACCATTTATTAGTAGATGACGCTACATAGTAAAATTCATGACTCGATACATGTATTCATAAAGCAAAATAGTACCAAAGGAGAGAAATGGCATCTTATGGCACTAACGTATATTTGGAATATGTTTGAATCAGATATTAACTCAATCAAAGGATTTATTTCTCAGTTTGATTAGCAAGATTAATCATAACATTGTACTTGAATAAAAAATCACCTTTTTAGTGTCTATTCACTGCAAAAAGTCATCAAGTTCCGGATTACGTACGCCATACAGAGATACTGCTGCCCGGGCTTTATACAGGAAGGGAATCGCTGTGTCCTAAGTAAGTTCTCGCTGTATCTCTCAAACAACTAAGTGTATCGAAGGAGTGTTAATTTTACATCCCTTCTTCTGACCTTAATAATGAAATCTTAACATTGGCCACAACCATTTAAACGTTTAGTGCACAGACTTTAGAAAAGTAATGCACATGTCATGTGAAAGGCATAGTATGTCACTTTCACATGTATTCATTAAGACAATACCAAACATTCTTCATGCCATGACCTAGACATTAGTGTATTAAATTTCATATTTTGAACAAGATGTGTTTGGGAAACACTGATGCCCCTGTATGGCAACATAGCAAAGGTTAAATTTTCTCAAATGCAAATCAAAAATGTTGGTACCCAAAGAAAGGCCCTCCGACAAGAAATACGTATATGAAATACAAAACCCTAGGGCACCTGTTCAAAAGTTGTGAGCAAGGTTAAAGTTATTTTAAAGTAGGTCAAACTCCGGGGTCAAGATCAAAGAGCCAAGGTTGTTTGATTCTAAAGAAAGGCCTTATCACAAGGATTACATGTATGAAATATGTAAGATCTTACCTTTCAAAAGTTTTGGCCAAGGTTATTTTTTTTTTTAAAAAAGTAAATCAAAAGGTCAAAGTTGTTCGTATATAATGAAAAGTTCACAAATATTGCATATGTGAAGTATGAAAGCCCTAGCATCATTCGTTCAAAAGTTCTTAAAAAGTAGATCAAAGTCCAGGTCAAAGGGTCAAAGTTGTTGGTATTCAGTGAAAGGTCTTGTCATATATGGATGATATGTAAAGTATGAAATCCCTAGACCTTGCATTTCAAAAGTTATGGCCATGGTAAAAGTTTTTAAAAGTTGGTCAATTTCCAAGGTTAAACTCAAAAGGTCAACGTTTATGATATCCAATAAAAGGCCTTTTCACAAAGAATAGAGATGTAAAGTATGAAAGTCTCCGTATCAATTGTTCAAAAGTTATGGCCAAAGTAAAAGTTTTGAATTTTGGTGTGAAAGTTTGTCAACCTCCAAGGTCAATGTCGAAAGGTCAAATTTTGTGGTACTAAAAGTTCTTGGCACAATGAATACACCTGTGAAATAAGAAAGTCATAGCCCCACTCTGTCAAAATTTAAGGGCAATGTTAAAGTTTTTGCGGACAAACAGACAGACAAACGGACGGACAGGGCAAAAACTATAAACCCCTAATCTTGGATTACGGGGCATAAAAATTTAAACCTTTTCTTTTGATACCAATCTAATTGACCTCCTGACCTTCACATTGGAGTAAGAAACAGTAACTGGACACATACGCATGCATGTTATTCTTTCTCAAGACATAATCTTTCAAAATCTTAAACACAGTCAAAATATCCAAACAAAAACCTTAATTATTTCAATATATATATTTCAGTCATTACAACAACACCGTCCACAACATTAGCTCCAACTACAACACAAACGACAACCACGACAAACCCAGATGACGTAGGTGATCCTATAGAGGGCGCTTTAGAGGAAGCTGACGGAAATGGCGGCGCTCTGTCGGAGGGAGCAGTTGTTGGAGTAGTGTTAGCTGTTGTTTTTGTCATGGCCGCTGCACTTGTCGGGCTCATGTTCAAAATCCGCAAAAAAAAGTACGAATCGTGCTTATTGATTAGAAGGAATAAATTAACTTGGAAATATAAAAAAAATAATGAAACGGGTGATTTTAATTGTGGGTATATTTAGAAATTTATAGTATTAGAGGGGTATTAATGTTATCCACCGATAATATCGTTAATCACACTACTTACAACATCTTTAAATATTTGTGGCGTTTAATGCCCCCCTCTAAAAATGAATCATAAAAGAACAAAAGTACATATATTTAGCTTAATAATATATTTATAAACTCTTCTAAAATATAATTTTATTAATTTGTTTAAAATATTGAATTTTGTTATAGGAAACAAGACAAGGAGGCAATAATCCAGTCCGAGATGTACCGAGGGCAGTCCCTCCACGAGAACGGGATAGACCCAGACCAGATATCAGGGGGAGCCTTTGAAAACGACCTCTATAATCTCAATACAAACAAACCCCCTAGAGGTATGTTACATATTGAAACCTAAAGAGGATTGGTTTTGTTTATATCACCAAGGATATGGAGTTTTTGTGACAGACGGACAGAGAATGACAGAGAAATGAGATTTAATCTTCCCTGCTTTCGAGAACTTGGGGGACAATAATATCCAACTGAAAGACAACTATATTCACATAAGAATTTGAAGGATTTAAATATTTAGAACTGGTTCGTGAGAATCAGTAGCATCGTCGTTTATCAGGAATCCCTCTGTATTGTCATTTCAAGTCATTCCAGTTCATAATTACTAGTATTCAGTTTGAAATATTGAGTAAGTGTGAAACAAACACGGGTCTTTTTTTTTGACACAAACTATCGCATCTATGCTGAACCGTATACATGTGCAAAAAGAGTATTAATAAAACTTCAGTAAATATCATTTAATCACATAAATCAATTTCAATAAATAAACACTTAAGGACAGATGATACAATCCCCCAAAAAATGATACCTGGATTGGTATATATTTATGTGGCAAATGATAAATTTTTGAAATATTAAAAAATTGTATACATTCTATGATATTCAAAAGTCTATCGTGCACACATTCTTATTAATCTATACGTCCAATATTTTTCACTTTTATTCCCATTATTGTGAATTTTTTAACGAAAAATTAAAAACAACGTGGTGAAACATGTTTTACTCATTAAAACATTACTCTTGTTCTTATTTTCAAGTTTTTAAACAAAAGTTTGTTTGTACCATCTGTCTTTAATATAAAAAATGTACAAAAGGTTTTATTTATTTATTTTATTTTTTTTTTTTTTTTTTGGTTTTCAAATTTTCGTTTCGTTCCAGGAGTAACATCAACACCCGAAATGTACGATCAACTTCATTTGTACGGGAACGCCGCAGACGAGGCAATCCACGATTACGAACGCCCCGTCAGATCCAAAACAGTCGGGGGCGGTGCGGGGGATTATTACAGCAAAGCAATGATACCTAACCCTAGTTTTAAGTCCGAGGGACATCAGACAGTCAAGTATCAAAATAAAGGCGATGTATCAGGAAAAGTGAGAGTGTTCGAAAGGCTTGCGTCAAATCAATCAGATGATCAAACTTTTACCAACAAAATGCTTTATTCCGATGTCAGATACTGAAATCAAAAATAATAATAATAATAATAATGCTTCATCTTCATTTGATTTTCTAGTTTTTATTGTTTTGTGTACTGTATTTTAACTTTCTACAAAAATAAAACGTGATTTTGAAAACGTTACATGTTGGTCTGATACAAAAGTGTTTTTGTCCTTTTTAACATAACGTTTTGCAAATCAGTCTACTTTGTTATGAGAAAGCTTTATACATCGATAAAAAGATTTGGTTTATCCAACAAAGGAAATTAAAAACATTACGAAGCTCATTTAAAAACTGTTATTTATAAGGCAAAACTCACCATTTTTTCAAGTTTGCATGCAGAATAAAGTTAAGCAGGAATATCCAAGCTTCTGTCAAAGTTTCGCCTGACTGTGTACACTCCATATCACCCACAAAAACGAAGGTTAGTTTTATATCCAAAGTTAGTCTGGAAATGCCCATCCTCTTTTAGCACCCAATGCAAGCTTCATCATACTGTATGTGTAACAGGTAATATCTTTGTAGAGCTACTCCAAAAACAACAATGTAGCCAGTACTTTGATAATTATAAGTCAGATCCATCATCCAAAAGCAAGTATGTAAATGTCCATCCATCATCCATATACGTCAGGTCCAGATAGGACAAATAATCACTCATCTAAGAGGCCATTCTTCCAAAGCAGATGAGGTAGTGTGCATATATCTACAAGTAGATGCATCACCTATGCAAGTTCCGATCAGATATATCTTCAAATTTCTTAAAATTGACTTGGTACAAATCTTTTTATCTGGTGATTCATCAGAAAACCAGAGACCAAAGGGTCTCGTATAATAATTGCTCATCTGAACACATTTCTATTTGATGCCTTGAAATTCCAAAATTAGATCATTAAGACCTATGTAATGGTTTAAGCAATCCACCATCCCCACACGAAAAATTGATGATTCGAAGCCCCTTATTATTTTTGATATTAAGATATAGACATGGGATTCAAATCTTGTGCCTACTTTCTGTTAAATATATTTCGATGCCCCCAAATGCCTCAACTTGATGATTTTGAGTCTCTAAGCATCTGAAATATTTAGATGTAGTTTTGAAATTCCAAAAGTACGATGGTTGTCCCAAAATTTCGTAGACTGAGCTCATATCTTTTAAAGATTTTAATGTATCTTTATAAAATTTTCAGGGTGGATAAAGCATGTTCTTGGCAGATAAATTACGAAGTTTTATCATGTTTACTTGAAAAGTTTTCGAGTAATAACATTTAAAGTGATATAGTTCTCTAACACCCGGAGCAATCTGCAACGTCAAAAAATACATATGTCAACGGTTCAAATTTTTGGAGAAAATATTTCAATTACCAGAATCAAATTCTTAAATTAAACGAAACGGTTATAGTTATAAATGTAAAATATCTTAATTACTATGATATGATAGAACATTAAAATATGTAAACAAAGTATATGCATGTATAGGTATGAAATAATAATAATTTGAAAACGCTATATTTCTACGAGCTTTTTGTCTATTTTCTCTAATGGAATTTGCACAATGGAACTCTTGCCCATTTCTTAGCCCTGTCTTTTATTTTAATTACTGTTATTGACATATACATAGAGAAACCGTTTTAGTCATTTTAAATACTAAGGAGGAGAAAAAGTTTCCTAGTCTACCAAACATTTATGACTGGTACATTTCTGTAAGAGTGAATTCAGGATCAAAACACTTGATCATAGTCCAGTGCGCCGCCTGGGCCAACGCAGCCGCCATTTTTAAAAAATTCGGATTTTAACCCCATGTATATAAAAGTTATAAAATTCATATTTATGAAACCATACACACCAAAATTTGAGGAAATATAGTTTATAAAACAATATTAAGAACTTTCATTTCCATTAAATAAAATATGGGGTAGTAATTACTTTTCCGTAGGATTTTAAATATAATATACCAAATTTTAATTGCAACTTTTGGGCTTGCGCCGCCTTCCTAAACCAGACAATGAAATTTGTCTTTTAAATTGGAATAATTTGTGTAGTTACTCCATATTTGTTCATAAATTTATTAGATAGTGTTGGTTTAACCTATATACGAAGTTTCATTCATGTATGACGTAGGGTTCCTACAAAACAACGCTTATCTACAGAATTTTGGGACAACCCTCGTAGGTCACTACAATGATTTACCTTTTTTTTTTACTTATTCTGAGGACTCAAAGTACATTTACTAACAAAGTTTCACATGGCATACTCCTTAGACTCAATCAAAGATGGATCAACCAACAAAGTTTGCTTATTCCAAGTCAATCAGTACCTGAAATGTTTAAATATAGCTATAAAATTTCAAAAGTAGGTCATGGCCAACTTTAGTTGACATGCATACTACAAGAACTCTTGATGGATCAACCAACAATGTCTGATAATTCTAGGCCAATTAGTACCTGAAATATTCAAATATACTAGTAACCATAAAATTTTAAAAGTAGGTCATGGTTACCCAGTTTAAGTAGCTATACTTCGAGGACCCAAGATGGATATCATCAACCTATATATATGAAAAAAGGTTTGAAAATAGTGTACTTTTTTTTTTACAAAACAGACAAATAATTTCAAAACTAGGTCAAAGTGACCTACTTTCCGGTTGATATTCTTCAAGGACTCAAGATGCATTAGCCTTCAACGTTTGGTCATTCTAAGCCAATTAGTAAATGTACTCGAAAATGATCTCAAAAGAAAGTCACGGTGACCAGTTTTTCAGTTGACATTCTCTGAGAACCCAAGATGCAACAAGTGAAAAAGTTTGATGATTCTAAGTCTGTGAGTAACTTCATGATTTAAAATAGTCATAAAATTTTAAAAAGTATATAAGGTAGCTTACAGAACGAGGGGTGATCAAAAAGTTCGCGAACTAATTGAATAACTTTCATAAAAGACACAATATTTGGTTTCAGTGTTGATTATATTTTAAATCAGTCCTCCCCGATCTTAATGAACATCTGCCATTGTTCTGCTCATGCGCGAATCACGTGAGATAGCCGGTCATGCGACCACCTCCGTAGCGTTCTGTCACAAAAGCTGAAAGATTTTTCTGAGTTTTACATTTCTTTCCATGTAAGTTAATTTTTATAACAAGAACAGTTAATTTGTAAAAAATTATCCATTCTCTGCAACAGAATGGGTGGATAAGAATATTCTTTCCAAGAATAAGCATTGCGACCATCAAAACTCAAATCTTCTTCCTCGCGAGAGACGCTTATTCAAGGCGGGTAGAGAATGGGTGCCTCTTTTTTATCATATCTAATATGTTTAAAATCTAAAGTAAACGATATCCTAGGTATTCAATAATCATATCACTGTTGAAATATTCAGCTATTTTTCAAAGTGTAAATTGGAGGTCTTTGATAGCTAATTGCTTAATTAAAAACAAATCTCTTTTCAAACTTGCTTTCACTGGGCAATATAACAAGTATCATTTTTAACCATCTGCCTTCCTTCACTAAAACGATCAATCCAATCATTGATGGAATTTATATGAAGTCGATTATCTTATTAAACTGTGTGCAAATTATTATAGTCTACTTAAAAGGGATTTCTAAGATATACCATAAATTTTACAGTCATTTATATTATTGAACGAGTACGACTTTTTCGTCACAAGTGACCTGCATAGTGACGTCATTTTCACATTGTGACGTCACAAACAAGAAGAAAAGCGTTTTTAGCATATGCTATTTATAGAACTTGTGTATGGCTACATGTGTACCAATTTTTTTTCTAATCTGAATTATGGTTTTGTAGATATAGAGATAGTTCGCGAATTTTTGATCACCCCTCGTAACCTACTTTCCAGCACTCAAGATGAATATCAACTTACATGTACAAAGTTTGATGATTCTAAGCTTCTTCGCACCTGAATAATTTTGAATAACCCTAGCCTAGCTTGATGGTCTGGTCACTTACTGTAAGCCTGTATCCATTGAACTTGGGAACTTACCGTATTTGCTGTTACCAAACGATTTCTGAAGGCAAACATGCGAATACATGTAAATCCTGTCCCGATTCCGGGTTGCAACGCATGCCCTTGGTCGATCGGGTCGTGGTCTAACCTGAACAGACCCTGTAGCACGATTATCTGGACTATAATTTGCTGACAACAGATTGTGAAACATTCCTTGCCCCTGCCAAAGCGACCTGTCTTGTGCCAATCTGTAGCCTGCCAACGGCAAGGGCACCTTACCTTTCATCCTGGTTAGACGGCGCATAGTCTCCGTTTAATTAACGATTTCAACAACTGACAATCTGATGCTTTCTCTTCAAAATTGTTCTTTAGAGTGGCTTTAACCATTCCAGTTCAGAGATATACAAATTTTAGACACTACACCCTTGGTCACCGGTAGCATCTCGTGAAGATTGTGGGAGTGTGCTATTGTTCTGTTTGGGTGATGAATTTCTTTATATACAACAAGGATTCCTACCCTTTGTAAATTTTCAAATCTACAGTATCCCCTCCTGTTTTCATTAGTATAGCTGACATACTTTGGGGATCCAAGATGCATCAACTGACGAAGTGTGATGATCGTATGTTTTAAAATGCCCCAAATATGCCTGCAAAATTCAAAAAGTAGGTCATAGTTACCTACTCTTAATTCAACATGATATGAGGTCAACTGACAAGACTTGATGATCCTAGTCACCAAAGTAATCAAAATATCAAAGTTTTAACAAAACTTTGACTTTGGTTAACTTTGAAGTGACCTTGGGACAACCTTTTCCTTAAGGTTGATGTCTTGAACAATTTTCAATCCACAACATATCTGACTGGTGACAATCTACCCATTGGTTCTTGAGAATATTTTCTAGCAACATGTACATTTAATTTTTCTGATTATCTCTTTTTGTTTAAGGGTCGCATCGGAGAGCGCACTTGTAACAAATTTTACAAAAAATTGACCAAGGTTTTTTTTTCAGATCTAGATATATGGCGTTTGTTCTAATACATATACGTTCAATCACATTTCACAAACTGTCATTACATAAGCTCTTTCAGGATAGCTAAAAATGTACGTCAGATCCAACATCTGAAGTAAGCCTGATAGTGATCGATCTTACATGCATATCCATGCTAGTTTAGACAATTTAGGTTTTATTACTTGTGAATGAACCTGCTCCAAAACCACTGACCTTGCTCTCACCCTGAAAATGAAAATGCAAGTCAGATCCAGCATCCAATACAAACTTGAAAGTGTCCATCTTTAGATGCATCATCAATGCAAGTTTAGAAATGTCAAATTTGGTCTATGTAAGGCTTAAAGCTACTTAGGAATGGACTTGCTCTTAAAACTTGAACCTTGTCGCTCATCTTGAAAATGTAGGTCAGGCCCAAGATTCATGGCAAGTCTGTTAGTGTCCATCCCTGTATGCGTCATCCATAATAGTTTATGGACATGCTCCCAAAACTTTAACTGGGACTCCTGATTCTAATGCTGAGGCAGACACAATGCCTAGAGTAGGTGGACTTGGTGGAAGTGAGCTAAAAATGAAAGGAAACTTAACTTTTGGGAAGGCTTTTAATAAACATGTATAAAACAATGAGACAATATTACATCTAGCCATGAAGACAAGTCTACGAGACTTAACAATATAAAAACAAAAGTATTTAATAATCATCATATAAAACAAAAGATTTTACACGACAATTTGGCATAGAATACAAGCACTCTAGCTGATGCACGTAACTACAAATGTACCCAAGTACAAAATATAGCGAGTATAGTGAAATACTATAATCATTCAACACTATTTTAACACCATAACAATCATGACACAGTCAACAAAGACAGGGGGTGTTTTCTTCATTGTACAATATCTAATCATAACAAATCAACTTATCATAACATTTGAAATCTAAAATATAAATTACACATGAGGTAAAAAATATGTTGTGATAAGAAAACAAAGTAAGATTTCAAAAAAAATATGTTGTGATAACAGAACTCGTTTGTTATTGTTCTTTGTATATGAACTTTTCCACTTGAAATATCACAGCAACAGAAATAACAATCAAAATGATCAATACTAAGCCAACTACAATAGCAACTACAGAACACAATTTTAACAATCCTGACATTTTAGAGCAAATACCGTATTTTTTATATAAAGAGACATCAATGTACAGTTTATTTAAAAGAATGCTCTTCCAGTGAAACCAAAAAATAATTTGAAAGATGCCTTCAAAATAAAAAAAAAAACAAAAGAAAAAAACCAACTATGCATTCTTTGATAAGTTAAAATACTGAAAAAGAATATCAGATCAGAACTGAAAGTTTACTGTTTTAAAGGGGGCTTGAATATTAACCTCCTTTCAGTGTTCACCTTTAATCTATACTACCTGAGATTGATTAAATATAAATATCACTAAGCATGGATTTGAAGTACTTGAACATTTTGATTTTAAAAGGTTTCTCATATATTCCTATGTAAAACTTTTTTTTGGACCCACCCTAGCTCCGGGGGTCATGATTTGAACAAATTAATCTACACTACCTGAGGATTTCCACATGAGTGTCATGGGCCCATTGTTTGTATGGAGAAAAAGATTTTTTTTCTCCATATATTCCTATGTAAAACTTTGATCAGGATATTAATTTGTGTGAAAAACTTGGAACACTACCTGAGGAAGTTATTAACATTAAGTGCATCTTACAGGCTAGTGGTTCTGCAGAAGAAGCTTTTTAAAAGATGCCATTAATTTTCCATTAATTCGTCATTATCTCCCCTTGAAACAAAATTCTTAAAATCTTAACAATCTTCAAATGCTTCAGTAAAAAGACAAACATTCACCGGGTGAGTTTAATGATCAACTTTTAACAATTCCAACCTTTAAAATGACAATTGAATAGTTTATGTATCTTTGGCTGTATATTAAGTAAGTAAAACTAAACATCAATGTTTTAGCTTCAATATCATATTATGTTCCTTTGCAGTGTTCACCTTTATGATCTGTCTGACATTGTCTTAAAATAAATATAACAATCAAGGACTTTAGAACAACATTTTGCTTTCAGAAACTTTTAACAGAAAGTGCACTGTGCATAATTTTTTTTTTATCCTACAAAGAATGTTAGACTTTGAGAAATTACAGTTTCAGGAAAAGTGTAGGGGTAAAAGTTAATATGGAGTAAAAATAAGGTATTTTATACAAATTTGTTTTGATTTTAATTTGTGTACAACTTGGAATGAGGAGCTGCAGTGCATCCTACAGACTAATTCAAGACATATAACATAACACCATCTTAATGAAACAAAATTCTTAAAATGTTAACAATCTTCAAATGCTTCAGTAAACAGACAATCATTCACCGGGTAAGTTTAATGATCAACCTTTAACAATTCCAACCTTTAAAATGACAATTGAATAGTTTATGTATCTATGTATATTACAAATGTCAAATAACTAACTATCAATAATGAAAAAAAAATGTGTTATGGAATGTTTGTTTTCTGTTACCATGGAAACAACATCACAGTGCTTGATAAACATCAGATTTCTACATCTAACTTTTAAAAAAATGTATTGTTAATTTGCAAATGTTAAAATGTATGTCAAGTTATTAAATTATTGTTATTCATTGTCATCAATTAACTAAAGGTATATTTTTTATAATGAAATGCAATGAATATTTCCATGACATGTGAACAATGTGACACATATTACCTCCATCAATATATTTAATAGTTACCTAACAATGAAAAATGTTCATTAATTAAATTCTAAAAATTATAAAACCTTCTAACAGACTAACTAGAAAAACATTGGTCATTATACACAATCAGTCAGGCAGCGGCCTAAGGTACAGAATATAAGGCAAGCTTTAAACTATCTACAGATCGAGAAATACTTATTTACAAATATTTTACATATCTACATGTACATGTACATACTGGAAATAAGAACATCTTTTAAACGATTTAAATGAGCAATTCCTATTGTATGCTTGCTCTATGCAATAGTATATTTACAAAACTTTTTTTCGGAAAAATAACAGTCGCAGAATACATAAATGTAATATCTAATATCTCAAGAATTCATAAATGTGAAAACCTGAAATTGGTTTTTTGTAGATATTATGTACATTATGATGTCTCTCCTTTAACAGTATTATAGGTCAAATGAATTATTTTTTATTTTCACAAGGTTCACAGAGCTTGAAAGTAGCCAGTGAGTTTTTCCATAATCATGCATGGAACATGACAACAACATTTTACATGATGGAGGATCCTCTAGCTCAATATCATTATCTTACATTCTGAATTCCGGGAATAGAATTTTTTTCAAAGAAATAATATTTCAATAACAACCCACCAACCCAACTCCCATCCTCCGCAACCTACACTGGAGACACTGAGCCTTTTCTGATTTATTAGAGAGGTTAAGCAGATGACCGTGTATGTCTACGTGTAACTAGGGAATTCCCCTAATTTTATGCGATTTACATCATCAGTTTTGCAAACTGCGTAATTCTACAAGTTGTACATAACGTGTAGCTTTGCAAGTACATGTAAGTGAAAACTTGTAGCTTTTTAAAATCAAACTACAGCATATATATTTTTCAGCCAGTATTTGGTATGAAGTTGAGAATTTATTACGTACATCCAATGTATGTTTTTTTATTTCAGTCATAGATTTATTTAATACAAATGGATTGTAAAGTGCCTTGCTCAAATGACGTTTTACACTTACAGTTACAAGTACAGTTTGTTAAACTGTACACAACGATAGTTACGCATACGTGTAAAATCACTTCTAGCTTTACACGTACAAGTAGACATACACGCTAAAATGCTTAACCTCTCTATTATCGGGCATCTGATCCCTAAAACATGTAAAAGAGAAATTACAAAATGGACACAGCAAAAGTTGTAAATAAAGTGATTTTAAAAGACATTCAGTTTTGTAAAATGTGTGTCTTATCAAAGTATACAAACAAATATACCAAAGCTTTACTGTTAAACACATTTAGTGTTTATACACTGATCCAGTATTTTAACTATTTAGAAAACATGGAAGTAAAAAAATCAAAATGTATGATAAAATATACAATATCAGTAACAAGGAGACTAACTCTTTCACTGAACCAGTCAAAAACCAGTTTTAAATGTATGGAAACACCAGTTAAGAGTAAAACTTTATCCCTATAATTAATACAAAATATGACAGTAATTATAAATGTCCTTCCTCCTACAACCTCTGACCTCGTTGACACAATTAACCCAAAAAATCACTACCCTGGTGATAAAGTTAAATAAACTCACCTCAACCTAAACAGATTAACTACACTCAGTCTGACTAAAATCTGATATAATGTGGTCCTTCTTTCTTCATACAGAAACACTGACTTATCACTTGTATTGTTCCCTCTTAATATCCCCGTTCTCCCCAGGGTTCCTCAGCACTGTAGAGGGTGCACTGTTAGCGAATGTAATCAGGGGACTGCTGTGGCTCCTGTGGACCGGGGCGAAGGGCATGTTCCTGGACCGGGGCAGCCTGTCGTAGAGGGGCACCTGGCTTAACATTGGGACGTTGTAAATAGACGTGGGCTTAAACTCCGACGTCTGCTGACACTTAGGAATCAATGGAGGAATGGTACTGATGGCTGGCTGTTTTCTGGGAGGCATTTCGTACTCCTCCCTCGGTATCCCAGCATGCAAGTCGGTAAGACTTCTCTTCTTTACCGGCTTGTGTTTATCTTGCAGTATTTTAGAGCAGTCCGTCTTCTCGGCGGCAGCCGTAGAAGGGACACAGGCTGTTTTGGAGTTACCATCTTTGTTGCTCAAGACGGACAGAACAGCCACGTCTTTCTCGTGCTTAGAGTAGAAGATTCGGGACTTCAATGGCTCAGGAATGACTGAGGGGGAGTCTTTGTTGTGAACCAGTACCTGGACACTGTCTGAGACTCCAGACAGAAGGACGGAATTCTCACTGGGCACCGTGATCTTCAGAGGATCAAGGCTGGACGTGGAGCAGTAGGTGTTGTTAACACACTCAAACTCCACCTGCTTCACCGCCACCCCTAGGTCTTCTGCTCGATCCTCCACCAATTTTTCTCTGCTGTCCTGATGGGAAAGACGGGACAGGGGGTCAATATTCTTAAGAACCATGGGGGAGGGGGATCCAGACTTGTTCTTGGGAGGTGGGGTGGGGGAGTATTCTCGCAGTCTGTCCCCATTTACGAGACCCAGGTCTATTTTTGGTTTGATGTCACTCTTGGCTTCACTGTTGGTTTGGTCCACTGGGCTGCACATAACCACAAGACCTACAGAATATACATATTAATAATAATCAAAAAGTTCATTTCATGTCAATTTGTGCATTAATTCATTCATGCCATTATTTTTTCTTTGTACCTCTTATTCAACATGTAAGCTTAAATATTCAGACCATCATATTAAAAATAAAAAGTTTTCAGAAAGGATTCACTTGACACTTAAATTGTTAGTAGTTTCTTGAAGTGTGGATTATGATACTTTTTTTTAATTTTTATCCACAGTTCATTATCATGGTTCATTAACTTTGATATAATTTTAAATGCCAAGATTTTCTCAATATGTTCCTTACCCCCTCCATCATACTCCACCCTAAATGTTTTGATCCACTCCACAAAAGTACGGATGTCCTTGACCTCCAGGCCATGGACCACGTCAAGGACCTTCATTTTAGCTTGGCGTAGTCCTAAAAAGGAAGATACAGTTTAAAAACAGATCTATCTTCAATGTCATGTTTATAAATGAAATTGAATTTCATACATCATTCTTTTTTTTTATTATTTTTTAACCTAATACAGATAAATTCAACCTCGATATCTCAAAATCAATGGGAACAAAAAAAAACTTATTGATATCCAAAGACTTAAAATATCTACATATGATCTATAAGATCTGGTAAAATACATTAATTATGAGGTAACCTCTAAATCACTTTGACATTTCATTATTTGAGAAATCAGTGTTGAACTTTATCTCTAATCCCCATAATGTCATTTTTTCTTGGTCCCATCACATTGCATACAAGTATACATATAGCAAGGTATGACTATAGTAACTATAATTATTACTGTCTATTTATGACCTCTCACCATCTTTGGGCTCATCAAGGTCATCTGTCTGACCGTCCTTGACGTCGGAGCAGACTGACCCCTCCCCGATTCCTGAGTCTGTACGTGAGACCTGTCTTCTCTGCTGCAGGGGTGGGGAACTCCCCTCCACGCGCTTTCTGGCGGCCTCCTGGCAGATGTTCTCTATGACCGGTACGTATGTACTCTTGATGGCATGATTTGTGTAGTTCTCAAAAAGTCCTGCCATCTGAAATAGACAACATACAGTTAAACTCAAACTTTATTTTACACAACACTGAGTCTAATAGAATGATATATCAGGGAAATGCCAAAGTGAGTGTGCGGTCCCAACAACTTTTTTTTCATGATACACGTATTTACCATTGTTATTTCAAATCCTAATAAACAAGAGATGTTTGTAAAACACTCATGCCCCCTCCCCCCCAAATGGAATTTTTCCAAAAGTCCAAACATAGGTAATCAGAGATTACAGAGCTCACCTCAACGAATGTTGTCTTTAAGTAAGGCCAAGTCACACAATTAACCAACAAAAAGTGTACATCCAAAAATGCAAAATTTATGCAATTTTGATTTGATACTTTGGAATAGACCTATATAAAAACTTCAAACTAGTTCTTCATCATAAAAACGTAATTAAAATCCAGCATCTGAAGCAAGTTTGAGAGTTTTCATCCCTTGATGCATCATTTGTGCAAGTTCGGTTTATATAAGCCTTATAGTTTCTTGGTAATAGACCTACACCCATAACTTTTACGAGGTCCATTATCTGGAAAATGTATGTCGAATTCAGCATCTGAAGCAAGTCCATTAGTGTGCATCCTAAGATGTATCATCCATGCAAGTTTGCTCAACATAGAGCTCAAAGTTACTTGGAAATGAATCCTGTATAAAAAACGAACCTTTTCACAAATCTAGAAAGTGTAGGTCAGATTCAGCATCCGAAGTCAGTCTAGTAGAATGCACCCTTAGATGTACCATCCATGCTAGTTTGGTCCTTATAGGGCTCATAGTTACTTGGAAATGAGTCCTGCACCAAAAAATTTAACCTTTTCACTCATCCAGAAAAGTCTGGTAGTATTCATCCTAAGATGTATCATTCTTGCAAGTTTAGTCATTATAGGGCTGCCTCACAGTACCTAGGAAATGAAACCTGCACCAAAAACATAAACCTGTTCACTCATGCGGAAAATGTAGGTCAGATTCAGCATCCGAAGCAAGTCTGGAAGTATGCATCCTTAGATGTACCATCCATGCAAGTTTGGTCATTATAGGGCTCATAGTAAATTGGAAATGAAACCTGAACCAAAAACTTTAACCTGTTCACTCAACCGGAAAATGTAGGTCAGATTCAGCATCCGAAGCAAGCCTGACAGTATGCATCCTAAGATGTACCATCCATGCAAGTTTGGTCATTATAGGGCTCATAGTATCTTTGAAATGAAACCTGCACCAAAAACTTTTACCTGTTTACTGAACTGGAAAATGTAGGTCAGATTCAGCATCTGAAGCAATTCTGGTAGTATTGCATCCTACCAGTATTGCATTCATCATCCATGCAAGTTTGGTCACTATAGTGCTCATAGTTACTTGGAAATGAGACTTGCACCAAAAACATAAACCTGTTTACTCATGCGGAAAATGTAGGTCAGATTCAGCATCCAAAGCAAGCAGCAGCTTGGTAGTGTGCATCCTAGTAAGATGTACCATCCATGCAAGTTTGGTCAACATAGGGCTTATTGTTACTTGGAAATGAGACCTACACCAAAAACTGCACCAAATATGTTAACCTGCTCCAAAAATATTAAACCTGGTCATTCCTTTGTTGAAATTGCAGCATCTGAAACTTTGACTGGTACAATGAAACACACTAGAAACATCTTCCATGCATGTCTAATCAATATAGGTCATAGAAGTACTTGAAAAGAAAACTGCTTCAAAAAACTTAACCTTTACCTGGGACGCCGACACTGACACCGACAGTATTACATAAGCTCCCCCAACTTCGTTGAGGTGAGATAATAACCCTGCACCCGACTGCTCGAGACGCACAAATTTTGACGCCCGGCTTGATGAGTAAAAATTTTCCATAAATTTGATAAAACTTTCAAATCAACTATTACTGGTTGCAAAGTGTAACAAGCAAATGGGTAGAATTCATCATGCGTATAGGTCCGGAATCAAATATATAGTGAGTCGATCCCATTCACATTTTGGCTAAATCAAACTTTTCAAATAACAATTTTTTTTTTGGGGGGGGGGGGGGGGGCTAGTAGATTTTTAGCAGGGCAGACAACTTTAACTATCAATCAGTCCTCCATGTCTCGCTTATTTTACAGTGAGTTTTAAACACTGGTATAAGTTAATTGTAATAATTTTTTACTTTTATAATTCAAATATTCTACTAGAAAGCAAACTAATAACTATTAACTAATAACACATACAAATTTCAATGTTGGTAAGCAAAACATTGGTGAATTGCTCTCAAAATTTGCTTTGCTCAAGAGGAAGGAAATATGGACCATGCTGGCTGGCAAAATTTTCCAAGTTACAATAGCGAAAGCTTTTGTAAAACATGTAAAATGTCAAAATAAACTGGCCTGGTGTAAAGATCAGTGAGAATTGGGGCAAACCGAAAAGGAAAATTATATCAAATTTTGCAATGCTGAGACACTTTCATCATGTTCATTTGGAATGTTGCAATACTTTTTTGTATTATTTCTAAATATACTTATTTTATAACAAACTATTTTGTAAATTATAAAATAAATCACAAGGTTCTGCATATTGATCCTGACTAGTTCAGTAGTTGAATGATTTCGCAATATTTAAACTAGATTCACAGACACTTGTGATAATATTTTGCAATTCCGTTTCTGGTGCAATTGTAAGCACTATTCTGTTTAAATACCTTGTGTTTACCTGGAAGGCCTCTATTATAGTAAATTCGAAGTTTTCTGAGTCTTAGAGCATAACCATGTCCAAAATTACTCAATCACACCCAAAGCAGAATTTGACTTAAAATATTTTAATGATATATCTGTAAACCAAATTTCATTTCAGTAAGTGCAACATGTGCAACCTATACAAAGAAAATGAATAGAAACTGCAAACAACTGCAAATTTTCTAAGTCCAAGGGCATAACTCTGTCCAATATTGCTTGACCATACTCAAGCAGAATTTCAGTATGTGCAACCTGCGCAAAGAAAAATGAAGTCAACAGAGACTGTTGGTGAACAGACAGACAGAACGCTTCTTCTAAGGGGGCATAATTTAATTTTTATGAACAGATGTTCTCAGGTAATTACAAAAATAAAAGTTCTCACAAATAAAACGTGTGATTTACAGATCTATTTTTTTGGGGGGGGGGGGGGGGGGGGGGGGGGGGGGAGGGGGATATCATACCAAGTGAATATGAAGTGACAAACCTGCGGTTACCAAGATTATAAATTAGGTCACTAAATATCTGACCTTGACCTACCTGACATGTGCGGGTCATGATTTTGCTGATTGTGCTGTTTCCCAGCGGGGTGTTATCGTACCAGACATAATCCTCCGACACAAAGTTCCGCTTCGGTCTTTGCCAGAACGCCTCCGTCATTGGGTGAAGATGTGTTAAGTACTGCAGAAACGAGGCCACGGGACATTTAGGATCACCTGGGAAAAGAATAACAAAGAGTGCGTATAGTCAAACCTGGGTAACTATGCATTCTCTTCTACTCTTTAAAGATTTATCATAGACCCTGAAAAAAAAAAAAAAAAATTAAGATATATATCTGATTCCTATGATTTGAGATATTAGAAGTTATATATATACATTAAGAATCAGCAGTTGGGTCTTCCAAATAACAGACATACACTACTGACTAGCACATGCCCACTACATGGATTGGTACTTAAATACCAGCATTTGAGATAACAGCAAGTTAAAGCTGTATTCCATTCTACAGATGATTGACAAGGGATATGCTTGATTTAAAAGGAGAAAATGGTTCAGTTTATTTACACCTCCAAATATCAATGTACAGAATTTTAAAAACATGGACCCATCATTTTGTTTTTTGAAATATTAGTATATCAGACTCTATAACATATGCATAATATTATGATCTATGGATATGACATTTTTTTTTAAACTATATATACATGGTTAAATGAAGTCTATATTTTAATTTAAAAATTTGCTTCATCATGTTCATTGGTATTTAAATAACTCAAAGTTGATTAAAATAGAAATCAATAACAGTTTTGTGTGAACAAATATAAAACTTGTCTGGAAAGAATTGCTTGAAAAATAGACCCTCGTGAAGAATTGACATAATTACATACAACTATCTGATCCTGGTGATGTAATGTGTGTATGGTGCAATTAACACTTTCAAAAATTAGCCAATCAAACAGTCTCTGACAATTGTAAATATCTGACCTGTATCATGTAGATACAATGCAACCAATAGTATTCACCAAAAAATGAAAATGACACATACAAAGGCTTTAATTAAGAAGTATGAGTTATTAAAAGCTCTGAGAGTATATTTAATCAGGAATTTCAAAGAACATAATTAGCACATTAATCATCTTATTAATTGAAATACTCAACACAAATATCTTTTTATTCACTTTAAAATCAAAATATTCCAATTACCATATCCATCCCTTTGAGTGCCCCACCCCCTACAGGCATTTGAGACTTGGAGCCTCCCCCCTTTTTTCCAAAAAAAAAAAAAAAAAGACTAGTAAAGGCATTGAATATTGGGGCATAGATTTAGCATTCTTACTTTCAACACTTACATGTACAGGTAGCAGTGTATTTGAAGAAGAACAAGTGGTTTGGTTTAAAAAAAATTGGTACCAAAAGAATTTTGATTCCCCCATCCCCATGCACCCCCAACCAACCAATCCCAACCATGGCAGAGTGACACCCAAAATATCCAGAAAGCAGTCCCCTGGATTGCTTTACGGTCACCCTGGGACTGCTTTATTCACTCATGCGTGGAAAAAGTACGAAATAGGATTGTTGGCTTGCGTTTGGACGATTTTCTAATTTTAGTTTTTTTTCCCCAAGGTAAATTATAAAGCATGGCTCTTACTCATGGGCATGTAGGAGTAAGTTTGGTCTAGAAATGTCAAATATGCAAAAGTTGCAACAAACTAAAAGGTCAAATCTGCATCATCATGATCATTATATATTGTGGTCTCATCACGACTTAGTAATCTTCTTTAAATTTGACCATTCCTTCCCAAAATTTATTTTTTTTTCATTTTATAGTATACAAGGCATAGGAGTGGGCAAATTTAAAGAGGACAAAATTAATGATTTACCTCGGGAAAAATAGTAAATTGTCCGAACGTGACAATTCTATTTCGGGGGAAGGAGGGGGAGGGACGACATGAAAGACAACACTCTTTCAGTCTTTTATTTTTTTTTTAACCTTCTTTGAATAGTGCTCTGCAACCTCTGCATGTTGAATGAAAGTAGGAGGGAATCTGAAGGGTCTAAACCATTGCCCCAATGTTCAATGCCTTTATTAGTAAACTTTTATCAAGATTTAAAGTATGGGAAAAAAGTTGACAGAAGAGGAATGGATTCTGGCAAGCCCCTCCTGTTCCAAAGTACATGTTGAAGACATGAACTTACAATATAGATAGAACGTTCTATCGTTAAAATGATTGTTTTACGGACCAGGTTCCTTCTGTGTATTAGCAATGTAGCAAAATAAACACAATTAAGGGATAAATCTTAATCAGTCCATTTACTACAAATAATCCTGAGAGTTCTGAAACATGCTAAATGTAAACATGGCGTGTAAATTTGAAGCGAAAAATTATTGAAGAAATTAGTTTGTGTTTTCAACTTTGTATGAATTTTTGGGGGGAATAAAAAGGCAAACAATCTCAAATGGTTATAAATTTCAGTGCAACCCCTTTTGTATTCTTCAAAATTGCTTTAGAGTGGATCCACTCCGATTTGCTACATGTATATTGCAAGCATATGGGACATATTATTACTGCAGTGACATCTTCGCTAGCCAAGGGTTTCTGATAAGCTACTCTCCTCATAATACCGTGGCATACGGTGTTGATAGAAGTTAGGTTTTTTCCTTGAGTTCTGATTGGGCTTCGGTACACCTGGTCGACCAATCAGCAATTTTGTAAATGATGATATTGGCATTCGGGATACTTCTTGACTCTTTAATCTCGGGAATGAAAAACGCAAGTAAACAACGATCCATAAGATAACATGCAATTCTATGAATAGCTATGGTGTCATCCAATATCTTCTAAATATGTGATTAAGAATCTATATTAAAGCGTCAGATTTGTACTATAAATATTAAAATAACATAATTCAATTATTGCTTCTTAATTATTCTTGAAAAAACACTTTGATTTAATTTTTTTTTTTAAACATGCGTCTTTATTTCTGTCGATGACACAATCTGTCCCTACCTGACAGATTCCAGATCACGTGACAAAAACTTGATAGATTCGAGATCACATGACGAAAACAATCCTGTCTTTTGACTTCACTGTACTGCCAAGGGTTCATGAGGAGAGTAGCGTATCAGAAACTCTTGGCTAGCGAAGATGCTGCAGTGAGGGCTTGACCCAGGACAGGGTTCGACATTAACGTTAGTCCGTTAGTCTCAGACTAATACATTTTCATTCGGACTAATAAAAATTGTAGCTAATTAGTCCGAACGGACTAATAAAATTTTCTGGGGAAAAAAAAAAGAATTTACCGATGTTCAAATTTTCGATAACTTTCACTGGAAAACCCCATATTTATTTTTAGCTTTCTAGCTTCTTAGCAGAAAGTTAGGTAATTCTGAGTCAATTCGGCGCTTAATTTTAGGACTCATTGGTCAGGAATGAAATTAAACATTTTAGCGATTATGATTTAGTATGCCACATAAAGAAAGATGTCAGATGTTTAGATGATGTAATCATGTATAGTGAAAAACGAATGAGATCAGGAATATGATCGTAGTTCCTGATTGTGCGATTTCAACGAATTCTTGGTATAAACATTTCATGTAAATGCTTTGTTTTTGTTTTTTTTAAAAAAAAGTATAAAAAGTACATTGCAACATTAATTTTATTTATTTATTTTTATTTTTGACGGACTCATAAAATTGATCGCGGACTAGTAAAAGTAAAGACGCACTAGTCTGGCCGGACCAAAGCCTAAAAATGTTAGTGTCGAACCCTGCAGGACACACTTAGATTATTCTAACTGGACTGATCACAGATTTGGCAACTGAAGTTGATGCAATTCAAAGAAACTTTCAAAACTCTCCACAACCAATTTTACTAAAAATAGAATACCTGGGCGCTCATACATGCGTTCGCCAATCTGATTTCCATGAATGACCGAGTCATTCTCACTCAGCCCTCCGATCAACTCTTTGAAGCTGAACTTGGAATTATACTTCAGCCAAACATACCGTCGTCCCTCCATATCTGTTGCAACTTCAAAGTCAGATTTCGACATCACTCTCAGAAAGTCTTTTCCACGATTGCAAATGTACAAATTGACATCGAAAAACACTTTGTTCTGCAAAGTATCAGAAGCTGCTAAGGTTTAAAAAATGTAAAGTTTTTTAAAATCCTCGAATTCTATTCCCCCTTCCCCGATGACACCTACGGGGGACCTGTTTTACTGTGACATCAAAAACACTATTCGCATGCACAAAATCTCTATCTTTCACAATGTCAATGCCATGATGCTTCATAAAATATTTTTGCAGACCATTCCTTATTTTAATTTTTTTCAGAAACGAGCATGTTAAAAGGCTCGACATCCTGTGGACTTAATAGTTGTGTAGAAATCTTTCAAATAATCTGCGATTTGAACGGGCGGCATCATAGCAAGTGCTTATATATTGTGTCCCTTCGCACTCACGTAGTCTTTGAAATAATTTATCCATTCTTTCCTAAACAACTTTTTTTCCTCATTTTGCTTCCTATCATCATCAGGAGTGCGAAAATCAAATTTTTTACCTCGGGAAATTAGGTCAGAATTCATCATGATAACACGGCTTATTACGCACCTGTATAACTTCTTTTAGTATCTTGTTTCTGTTTTCCTTCGTCACACCTGCATGCTGTCAATTCCGCTAATAGGTCGTTCTAAATTCATGCGATTTGTTTTTCATAGCTGTACTTTCTGATTTGTTCAATCTTTAATCAGTAAACTTTTATCAAGATTTTAAGTATGCTAATGTTTCCAATAAATTTATATTGCGATTAATGGATTGTGGCAACCCCAATGGTGCAAAGTAGATTCTTTAAAAATGCACCCTTGAACTTTTCACAATATAGATGAACCTTCAATCGTTAAAAAGGGGTGATTGTTCTACAACAGGTTCCTGACCTGCGTATTAGCAATGTAGCAAAATAAACACAAGGGATAAATCTTAATCAGTCCATTTACTACAAACAATCCTGAGAGTTCTGAAACATGCTAAATGTAAACACAAATGGTAAACATGGCGTGTAAATTTGAAGCGAAAAATTATTTAAGAAATTAGTTGTGTTTTCAACTTTGTATGAATTGGAATAAAAGTCAAACAATCTCAAATGGTTGTTAATTTCAGTGCAACCCCTTTTGTTATCTTTGAAATAATTTTTCTTACATGTTGCATATAATTGCTGATTGATGCAGTGATTATTTCCAAGTATGCATGAAATAGCTTTTGACTGCAGTGAAAGCCTGTCAGGACACACTTTAATATTTTATCAAAAAAGTTGGCAACTGAAGTTGATGCAATTCAAAGAATGAGCTGTTGCTTTAGCATACTCTCCACAACCAATTTTACTGCAAAAATCTACACATAACTCAAGGCTTAATTAAGATGAATGGTCAATCGAGTGAGAAAAAAAAATTGCGAGTTCACTCCTGCTTTAGTCAAAGGTTATCACTTGAAACTGCATGTGTCTTTGTCTGTGCAATTCAATACACATATAAAAACATACTTGTTGCAACTTCAATTTTTCTCTGCTTTGGATTGCTCTCAAAAAATAACTTGTTATGTACAAATTGAATCTTTAAAAACACTTTGTTCATATAGGCTGCTCGAGTTCCAAAGCAGGACCCATGTAGAGTTTTTTAAGATCCTCGAATTCTATTCTAAGCCGATGACACCTACGGGGAACCTGTTTTATTGCTTTATCAAAAACACTATTCGCATGCACAAAATCTCTATCTTTCACAATGTCAATGCCATGATGCTTCATAAAATATTTTTGCAGACCATTCCTTATGAATTTCAGAGACGACGGAAAAGGCTCGACATCCTGGGACTTAATAGTTGTGTAGAAATCTTTCAGATAATCTGCAATTTGAACGGGCGGCATCATAGCAAGTGCCTGCAGACTGTGTCCCTTCGCACTCACGTAGTCTTTGAAATAATTTATCCCTGTCCTAATGACAACTTCCGACTCGTCCTCGTTCATGCTTCCTTCATCATCAGCGTCAAATTTTGGGGTAATTAGGTCAGAATTCATCATGATAACACGGCTTATTACGCACCTGTATAACTTAGTTTTCCATCTTGTTTCTGTTTTCCCTCTGACGTCACACCTGCATGCTGTCAACTTCCGCTAATAGGTCGTTCTAAATTCATGCGATTTGTTTATCACAGCTGCACTTTCTGATTTCGACGTTTTCATTTTTTAATCCATGCATAAACACCTTTCAGCGATCTCTGTGCGAATGTTTCCAATAAATCTTATATCGCAATTATATTCTGCGCATTTCGAACCGCAATGGTTGAAACCTTGACACCCCTTCTTTAAAAATGGAGTCACCCTTGTAAAGTTTTCGCAACATCCGGTGACCGTGTCATTCTCCCTAACTAAAGGGGTGACGTCAGACAACATGTTTGCCCTGCGTACTGACCTACTTTTGCTCCATAATATAGCCTAATCTGCAGTCTACAGCTCTCCGGAAGGGTAAATTTTGTTTTCAGTTAGCAAACAAAGTCTATTGGAATTTTGTTGACGTGCCCATGACTATTATAACTACATGTAAGGTGAACATGCAACATATCGAGTTGCATTGAGCAAATACAGTTTATCATGTTTATAGTGTCCAGTATCAATATAGCTACATACTGATGTAGCCTTATTTACCTAGCTACCTGAAGAATAGTCTAACATTATTTAGCATTTTTATTTTTCTTAGCACGTGCATAATTGCTGATTGATGCATGCAGTGATTATTTCCAAGCATGCATGAAATAGCGTCTGAGCTTAGTCCACAGAACTGTCAGAAGTTCACAATTAATACTTTATCAAAAAAGTTAATAGAAAATCACTCGATTGTCACCAAGCCATGAGCTGTATGCTTTAGCATAGCCTGCTACAGTAATCATCTAATGCATATACTTGTACACAAAACTCAAGGCTTAATTAAGATGAATGGTCAATCAAGTGAGAAAAAAAAATTGCGAGTTCACTCCTGGCTTTAGTCAAAGGGTATCACTTGAAACTGCAGGTGTTTTGACTGGGCAATTCAATACACATATAACTAAACAGTTACTTAAATGTACGTTCTACTTTCCAATTTTTCTCTGCTTTGGATCGCTTAAAAAAAATAACTTGTTATGTATCAACATCAGTAATCTATAAAAAAGAAAGCATATAGGGCTAAGACGCTTCATGTAATTCTGTAAATGACGGATTTTATTTTTTAAGTAAAATTTTGCTATGGAAATTGGTCTAGCCCTCTATACTATAAAGGTCTTGTTGCTTTATCTTGCCTCATTTAAGAATTACATTGAGAGCGCCAGCATGATAAAAAAAGCAAAAAATTGTCCAAAGTTGCATGAAAGTACATTGTACCTATAAAGAAAGCTACGGTATAGGTATGCTAGCTAGGTATAGCTAAGCTTCCTGATTGGAACTGGTAAATGTAATCAACTAATCATGGTTTATCATTAGAGCTAAAGCCTTATAATTTAAATTTAGAAAAGATTGATGAGAATGTATTTAGTTAATACAAAAATAATTTTTCTTATTTTAGAATGGCTAGGAAAAAAAGAACCTTGATTTGCCAGAGAAAGAAATATCATTATAAAAAGAGGAAGATAACAGAAGAAAATTGCCAGGTTAAAAAAGGAATCCTTCAGGAACATGGATATAGTGCGCCACAAGGACTTCAAACTGTTGTAGAAATGGAGAAGTCGGACCCACAGGGAGGCTGGAATTATCAATGTAGTGTTCCCAGTCAAATAATCAAACAAGAAAAGGATGAATGTGATGCACAGGTAGACGGAGAACATGTAAATAATGTCCCAGAAGAACTAGAAGAAAGAGTGAAATGTGAATCCCAAGTAAACTGGTACACCCTCACAACAACTGAATTACAGACTAATGAAGAATCTACCGATACTGAATTCAACCATGTTCAACTCTCTCAGCCAAGTGTCGAGATAGAGACCAAAGTCACTCCACTACAAATCCTTTATGACAACCTGCATGGAAGTGATTTCCTTAAAATGCTTTACTTTTTAGACTTTAATGATGATGCTATAAATATCATAGAAATGTACCGCAGTTCTCCAGCGAGAACGGGTGTCAAACTTTCCGTCCTTATCGATACAGAGTTTCATGCCCGTCTTTTTGTGCACAGGAGAGAATTGTCAAAAACTCATCCATGCTGGGTTGGTATGCCCAGTGAGTTTTCAACAGTGACCTTGGTAGAAGACCTAATGAGAAGAATAAGTTCGTTTTCTGTTTGTTTTGGAAATCCTGATGAGGAATTTCATAGCATTGTGCCAGTGGACGGTTCCGTCAAGAGTGGGGTTACCACGGGTAATAATGACATAGTGGCTTTCCGAGAAGGAGATTTTTGTGCCATCTTGGGGGATGTTTCATATAGCTCGTGCATCCGGTCTGTAAACTGCCCTTTACTGGTGCAAAATAGCAGGTGCAAGCCTTGCCAAAGAATTCGTCATAAGCTCAGAATGAGAAAATCAAGAGAGACAGAGAGAGCTATGAATGCGAAAGATAAAAATTATCTGAACAGCACTGATTCCCATAAAATAATGAGTAGGACGGAGTTGATCGCTAAGTTAGAACAGCAGAGAAAGAAAATAAAATCATTGTCCAGTGAAGTAGAGAAACTGAAGAAAACGTGCAACAATGGAAGAGTGTGAAATATTTCAGAAAAGGACCTGAATAATATTTTTATAGCCCACCCTGTGCGCCCCTTATTGAATTCAAAGCAGACTTTCATTTAAAAAGTTTTTTGTATTGATTGAACTTCAGTATCCATAGATGCTCAGTAGAAGAAGCAAACTTGAACAAAATTTTATAGTTGATATAATCTGGGACATTGCAAAGCTATATTTTTCTTCAAAAGTCAATGATGCATTGATTGAAAGCCTTTCTTATTTTAAAAGATACATTTTTAACAGCTAATGAGTGAGAGATGTAATTATGCCATAAGTCATATCCTGTGTCTTTCTATCGCATGCAGCCATGATGCAGGTGTAACGTACATGTTGTTCCAAAGTTGTACCTTTGTCTGAGTAATGCTATAAAAAGATCATTTTATATTACACATGTACCATATGTATCGACTTGAACTTAATATACTAGTAGATACATTTACAAGTCAGCTACATGGCAAAGTGGTCAAGTGTCTGCTCTAGAGTCGCGGAGTAAGTTGTTAATCCATAAGTCATGGGTGTGAATCCTACAGTGGGCAGTGGAATCTTGTCCTTCAGATGAAACCGTATTTAAACCAAGGTCCGGTGTCGCAGCAGATGCTGGCAAGAAAATTTTCAAAAGATCCCTCCCTGCTCAATGGCCATGATGGCCGAGTATAGATCAGAATTTGCAGCTCTTCATTAGCAAATTGTGGTGTTTCCATATGGATTGAGTGACAAATTCTAAACAAAAATGCAAACATACAGTCATATACATGTACAACTAATGACAATGTTTACAAACTCAGAAAAGTTATGATGAATGCATTGAATATTCAATAATTAGAATTCTTATGCAAGTACAATTCATTAATCTGAATTAATTTTTTACATATATTTCATGCAGCTGTGTCTATGCCTTATGTATTCCAAGATGGAACAAAGTTCTCTCTTTTGTGTTTCATAATGAAATTGCACTCACAAGGTCATGACAAGCAACATTTTGAGACATTTCGAAAGATATTAGATGGAAAAATAAATGACGTTAATAGAAAAATAAAAAGAAAAGAGGGGGGGGGGCATTAAAATACATAGACTGAATGGTAAGTGGTAAGAGTTGTTGCGCTTTGCTAACAGATTTTCCATACTCAATAGTTTTGAATAGCTAACAAAGTATCATAAACGGATCCAGGAATTGATCATTACCAACCCAACATTTTTCTGACAAGCAAATGAATAGGGGCTTGCTCCTGGCGTGTAAAAAATGTTTATTGAAAAAAATCGATATGCTAAAACTTCACACTTTTAGTATATATCGCTTATAGCAAGCCCCTGTGCCTAAACGTGAAAAAAAACATGACATGCAATAATTGGACACTAGGCCAGCGAAGATTGTTTTAAAATTTGGGAGACTGGGGCCAATTTTCTGTTAGAGTTAAGTCCTTCTTTATATGTACCAATTTGCGAGGAATCTTTGTTTTCTCAAGGTTTTACAAATCCGCAGTCAACATGACCAAGGTCATTTTTAGGTTACTTCACATGATTAATTAATAGATACCGATGAAGTTGAAACATAATCTTGAGCATGAATTTTAATTTATTATATATTTTTCATTGGCGTCTGAAGCAAATTGAAAGTGGGGGGATAAATAAAGGAGGGGGGGGGGGTTGTAGGATCGAACTTCTATAAGTACAATTTTCCTTCCAAAACACTACCACTTACCCTTCTTCGACGACACTTACACTGCAACGTGCCTGTTGAAAGTTTGGGGGGGGGGGGGACGTCTAAACCTACGCCCCAACATTTGATACATATATGATGTCCGTCTCTGCCAAGCCCCCCCCCCCCCCCCCACCGCCTATGTTTTTTTTATTTATAAAGAATATATATAGAAAGAATCAAGTATATAAAGAATCAAAGTGTAGTATATATAAACACTTAATTAGTAACTTCTGTCTACAGTATACTAATTGGTGAAGCCTATTCCAAAAATGTTTAAGAGATGTATTTCTAAAATTCCTTTGTCCTCATACAACCTATAGTAATTGAAAATGACACGCACAAAAATATCCCAAGAGACCAAAGATAATGTCCAATTTGTAAATCACATAAAGATTTAGAGGATGAATGTCATTTTGATTTTATACTCATATATATCCTTGATACATATAGACTTGAGAAAAAAAAAATCATTAAGAAATGTTATTGGAGTAAACCCTCTGTGTTTAAATTTATACAGCTCATTAGTGTTAATATTGTCAAAGAACTCTGTAGTCTTGGAAAATATATTTTAAAAGCTTTTGAAATAAGGAACTGTCAATAATTTATCTGTATGTTATATGTAAACTTTACATGCATATTGTATTTATTACATTTGTAAATCTGTAAAGGACAGTTATAATATCCCTGTCATACAAGGTCATTGTGACTTTTTCCCATCATATGTACAACGCTTCATTTCCTAGAGCTCTATGTAAATATAATTGTGCATTTTGTTAAATGCCATAGGATGTTTATCCTGAGCAATAAATCAATTACAAATTATTTACATTTTCTATTCTTTTTCGATGAGTCTGAGGACAATAAATTTGAATAAAATGTGGACAATTAACAGTCATGAACTCGATAGCAATCAATATAAGATTTAGTATAATACATTTTTTTTTAAATTATATATTAAGCGTATTCCTGAAAAAGATTCTTGAATAACGTCTCGATTTTTTATTATAATCTATTATACGTTCCTGGATGTACATGTATGTTGGATCAATGTAGAGAAGAACTCAAAAAGCATGCATATTCACAAAATATATCTCGTTATATATTTGTAAAATATTACAGTGACTTTTTTAAATGTGTATAGAACCTAACCCGCGCTTTTTCCTCCAATCAGCACTTAATTGTTAAGATTTTTTGTCTATGCAGTAACTCTGACTTAATAGCCAATGAAAATAGGTTCTAAGTAAGTAAGTACCCTAACAGCCACGAAAATATTTATTATATCAGAAAGGATTCGGAAATCATTAGTTTTACATGTATAACTTGCTGGGAATCATATCTTTACATAATATATAGCAATGACATACATGTACATAAATTGGAGCGTGTTAAGCCGCCAAAACAATGACCCTGATTTTATGTTTTCCCGAAGTTTTATTCAGATGGTTGAAACACCTTGCTTTTTTGGTCCCTTCTTTGTTAATTAACGCTTATTAGTCATCGGATTCTGCATTATCAGTGACTTGTATAATCACATGTGGTTCTATACTACATGTAGCTCCTACATTCTGACCTACAAATCCTTATCAATTCCTCTAGGGAAAGATCAAATTATTAAGTATTGTAATATAAACTTATTAAGGAAAACTTAAAAATATAGTATAATGACCATCCAGAAATATGCCTTTATAGCGATATGTTTGTTTTTTGTGTGGTTAGGATTAACAGAGTCAAATGGCGAAGAATCTTCCTCAGATGACATTCGATTTCTAAGACAGGAACGATCGTTACTACGACAGGAAGTCGAGCAGCTCCGACAGGAAGTAAGACTGAACCCTAAAACTGGAAGTCCGCAGAGCGACAGCGCTTCCAGGAGAGATGAAACTGATCTAAATAGATTATTACTTACTCAAGAAAGAAATCGACGATTATTGCTAAACTCGCAAAAGGTCACCACAGGTAAATAGTCGATGGGCCATTTATTTTTCTGGATAGAGTTAAGTCAGACTGAATTGTTAAATGTAGCCGCACAATCGGCAATTCTCGGCTGACTCCGCTACGCTCTATTGAAACCTCGGATATGACCAAGCTCCAAACAGCTCAGTATTACGTTACGCTACAACTCCATATCATTATTCGTAGGGAAAGTAGTCCCGGAGAATCGACACTGTATGGAGTTTGGGATATGACAGGTGGAGTGATACGCATCAAGTCGACACATTTCCCCGCCGGAAACTGCCTTGTCTCTTTTCATATTTCCCTCTGCCTAAAGTTCTTCCAAATAGGTTTCTTGATTTGTGTAATTCCTCATGTTAATCACAACCATATGTTACTGAGTAGTTTTTGAAAGATCTAGAAGAACACAGTGTTGGGCGTGCAACAAAGTAACTCAGATTTCAAAAGTATAACATTTGAATGAAATTCAAATAATATCACATGACTGTATCAGCAAGATGGAAGATCACCGTTGACGTCCGAGGTTATGTGCTAGGTACGAACCATCCGAGGAACTCCGAGTGTTAGCCGCGAGGCTCAAAACAAAGTCCGCCGGTGTACGTCGATCACTGTCCAAATTATGAGAATAAAGTTAGATTGTGCAAATATATGCACATATATAATGTATTTTATCGGTAACGATATATTGCAAAGGTTATAAAAACTCAGAACAATAAGGTTTAGTTGTAGTTCAAGAGGTGTAGCATTATGGAAACTTTCGAAACTTTCATAACCAGATTTTAAAAAGTTAGTTACTTGCTGATACATGTATATAAATGACTATAGTTTAAGCGGACACGTATAAATGGGGATTTAAAGTATAATTTTGATCTATTATTTAATATATCTTAAACAATTCTTTTGCAGAAATAGCTTTCTATGCCAACAAACCCATAGATTATCAGAATATCTCGGTCCATCAAACTCTGGCCTTCGGGAACGTCATCTCAAACGTTGGTAACTGATACCATGGTACATCCGGGATCTTTACTCCCAGCGTATCGGGCGTGTACGTTTTCCACGTACAACTGATCATGTGTACCGCTGGTCACGAGGACCGGACGGAACTGTTCGTGGAGGGGGGTCAGTAAAGGGGGACACTATGCCGGGGGATCGACGACGTGCGCTAACGGCGGAGGGTCGACCATCGTCCACGTGAACGCCGGAGATGCCGTGTGGGTAAGGGAGGCTACAACGAGCGGGAGGAATCTATTTGGGTGGGAGACAAGCTTCTGTGGGTTTTTACTGTATGAGGATTAATAAAAAGAATAATAGATTTAAAAATCAATTTTTATTGAAAGTTATTTCTGAATGCTGTAACTAACTTGGTGGTGAAATACAAGTTGTGTGTTAAAGTTGATGTACAGTCAAAAAAAAGTTACACTGTTCTAATAAATGAACTCAGTCTGTTTACTAAGTACTAATTTAAACGATAAGAGAGTGTTTATCAATATAAAACTAGTGGTAACCTAGTACTAATTTGCTGCACCATGCACTCCTAAAATGAATTTTCAAGTTCGATCATGGATATACCTATTTTGAATTAATAAATCGTTCATTAAAGAAGAAGAAAAATACACTGAAAAGAAACCAACTTTGAAATCATCTGGGTATATTTTTCACCACCAGAGACTTCCGTTTAATGAATGGGGTGAGAGATTTCAACTCGGTCGCAAGTATGTAGGACGTAAACACCTGTCCTGCGGATGAGACTCTATAAACCGAGGTCCCGTGTCGTAGTAGGTACTGACACGAAAAAGATTTCTCACTGTTCAATAGCCTTAAGTGCCGAGTATAGGACAACATTTGTAGCTCTCCATCGTCAAGTGGTTGACTCTCAATACATGTATAAGTGAAAAATTCTCGAGAGAGACGTTAAACAACATACAAACAAATAAAATTAGTTTTCTTTGTCAGGATTCTGTACACTCTCGTTGAGAAAACAAATGTGACTACATCGAAAAAGTTGGGAAAAAATAAGACTAATATAGCAGTGCTCAGTGAAATAAATACAGATCACAAGTATCCTTATCTTTTCTTATGAAGAAAGTTCTGGGATTACACTGTGAATAAGGATTTCCTAATTGTTCTTTAAATCAAACCAGTTATGGCGATCACAAAAATCGTGATTATTCTCGCTTTCATTGGCTGCATTACATCGGAGGACCTGAGAAACCATGGTATATCAAATGAAGCATGTTCAGAAGACATCCGGGCACTGAGAATCGAGTTAGCGGAATTGAGAGAAGAGGTCCTTCACCAGAAAGAGGAAATTAAAGAACTCAAAGAAGAAGTGGCGCAAAAACCGGACAAATGTGAGCAAATTCAAACCGATCATACTGCTGATGAGACTGTAGAGAATGTCCAAACTCAGAATGAAACTCCCCATGCAGTAGAAGGTTCCATTAGTTCCCCATTGAAACAAGACAGAAGAATAAGAAGAGAAGAACTGGCACACCCAACACCAGGCCGTGTACAACAAACAGGTACAGTGTAGCTATACAGACAGTAATTCTTACTGTCCTGTTCTTTCTTTAAAAATTAGCAAGCGACAAATTATGAGCCCACAATTGCTTTTTAATGTAGTCTGGATTCAAATAAATAATACATTAATGGCTGTATGATGAACACTATCTTCATTAGGGAACTTCTGTCGCAGAATGATGAAAAAATGCAAAGATTACAGGATATAGCTTCCGGGCATACCATTCACAGTCTGTAAAATATCATTTCCCGTCAAAATATGTGGTAAAATATCCGGCAGAAGACTTGCCTAGTTCATGTTTTCCTACTCAATTTCACAGTTGGCTGTATGTAGCGAAATTTAGCATACTGTATCTGGTGTTTGAAGTAGACTTGCATACAAATTCATCTCAAATTATCAAATGTCATTTTTCCAGTCGAGAACTTTTACTTAGTAAAGTTTTTAAACATATTCTATCTTGGTATTTAATACATTTTTCTCTCATCTCATACGTATAGACTTCTCGTCTAGTTAGTTTGAATATTATGATTATGGCCAGCCGTAAATATATATAATATTGTTTAATGAACACTCTCATGTTTCAATTTCACATCAATGACACCGAGAATAGCTTTCCACGCCAATGCTCCAAAGGACCACTCCAACCTTGCTGCTCATCAGAACCTGATCTTTGACAACGCCATCACCAACATTGGAAATAAATACCATCACGCCACAGGGGTATTTCTATTTACTCCTGATGTTTCTGGTGTCTATGTGTTCTACTTGCAACTAGTTATGTGTGCTACTGGGCATAGTGTCAACACTGAACTAGTGGTGGAGGGTGTCGGACGGGCTGGGCACTTCGTATATAGCAAAGAAGTTTGCGCAAATGGAGGCGGAATGACCATCGTCCATGTAAATGCTGGGGACTCCGTCTGGGTTCGACTCTCAGTATCAGATGGAGTTAACGCTTTTGGTTGGGAGAGCAGCTTTTCTGGATTTTTACTGTATGAAGATCAGTAAAACTAATCGATCCATGCTTTGAATATTGATGATCATCTTATTTTACTTGTTAAAAGTGCACGAATGTGTCAATCAAATGCGTGCTGAGATTTGTATAGTTTCAATGATTTCCAGATAAAATAAATTTTTTCAGTAATATTCCCCGGTGAAATGTTTTAGCAACAAATTAATAATGTAAGGCATTTAGTATAAAGAAAATTTGTAAAAATATGAACTTGTAATCTGTGCCTTATTGTCCCTTTGAAAAAGATTATAGAAGAAAACGGTTTATCTAATAAATCGATTTATTTCATTTATCAAGTAGGTCACATGCCGCTTTTAGAACATTGTATCTCCTCATGAAATATCTCTTATAATTCGATCAGATTTGGCAATAAATAAACAAGTCATTGTAGATATCTCCCAATGATTTAAACCTGATCACTCATATCTTTAATTGTAAGTTACTGTACATATATACAAATTCATACTAAATGGTTTAAAAATACCTTGATATGCATACAATATAGTAATGCGAGTTGAACGGAAAACGTTTTAAGATGACAAAATGATTATTTGTATATATACATTGACAACATAAGTGCAAGTCAACAAATACAGGTCGCAATACGTCTTATCACTCCTTATCAATATACGTCTCTGTACATTCTGTGCATGAGATTTTACAAACTATTATTTCAATCAAACCAGATATGAGAGTGTTTTTGGTCTTGAATCTGCTCTTTCTTATTTCCTGCATCAAATCAGAGGACCCAGAAGGCTCAGCAAGAACATCGAGCGAACCTTGGTCTGATGAAATCCGGGCGTTGCGAATGGAGCTAATGGAAATGCGAAAAGAAATGTCACACCAGGAAGAGAAAATAAAGCAACTCGAAGACGATTTAAAGAAAAAACCTGAAAAGTGTGAATGCCCTCAAACCGATTTTACTGAAACGGAGTCAAAAGAAAATGTCCAGACTCAGAGAAAAGTCCTGAGGACAGACGAAGGTTACAACAGAGACTTTCTGAAAGACTACAAAGCTGTGATGAGACGATTACTGCTACATCCAACACCAAGTCCGTCATCGCCACCTAGTAATTTTAATTTATATCATTGAAAATTTTAGTATTTTATTAAATGAGTCTAGTTGTGTAATAACAACTTGAGTTCTTTCATGCGAAAACCTGGTGAATACGTAATTCCACAGTCACGCGGAATGCGTAATATCATTTTTTATTATATGATTGAATTTCCATCTCTCTGATTGGCTAAGATCCAACTATGTTAGAAAAATACTACGATGTATTGACCTGCACGTGACGATCCAGGTCAATACAAGGGTTTATTTCCTCTACATTGATATTAAATTAGATTGGGAAATTCCAAATTGATACAAATTGTTTTGGAAAGCTATTTGAACGACTAAAAAGTATGAATTTTTTTTTCATGTGAACAAAACAAGCGAATATATATTTTAGGGTGAGGGTGTTAAGAGGGGATGCAGGGACCCCTCTCCAACACTTTTAATGAACAACATTTTTTTTACTCTTTGGCAGTCAGTTTTCCCTGATAATACTCCTTCCTTTAAAAAATCTATCCTATAAACAAGAGGCCCATGGGCCACATCGCTCACCTGAGCACTATGGGTAGGAAAAAGTAGAAAATGGCTATTTATTGTAAAATTTAAATCCAAAAGTAGTCCCATGACCAATCATGGATTTGCTATTTTTTAGAAAATGATTTTTAAAGAATTTTCCTATATATATCTTTAAAAACTTTGGTCGGCCATTTTGGCCCCGTCCTACCCCTGGGGGTCATGATTTGAACAAATTTGAATCTACACTACTTGAGCATGCTTCCATATAAGTATGATGAATTATGGCTTTATCATTCTTGAGAAGAAGATTTTTAAAGAATTTTCCTATATATTTCTATGTAAAACTTTGGTCGGCCATTTTGGCCCCGTCCTACCCCGGGGGTCAGGATTTGAACAAACTTGAAACTACACTACCTGAGCATGCTTCCATATAAATATGAATAATTATGGCTTTGTCATTCTTGAGAAGAAGATTTTTAAAGAATTTTCCTATATATTTCTTTGTAAAACTTTGGTCGGCCATTTTGGCCCCGCCCTACCCCCGGGGGTCATGATTTGAACAAATTTGAATCTACACTACCTTAGCATGCTTTCACATAAATATGATGAATTATGGCTTTATCATTCTTGAGAAGAAGATATTTTAAAGAATTTTCCTATATATTTCTATGTAAAACTTTGGTCGGCCATTTTGGCCCCGTCCTACCCCGGGGCTCAGAATTTGAACAAACTTGAAACTACACTACCTGAGCATGCTTCCTTATAAACATGAATAATTATGGCTTTGTTATTCTTGAGAAGAAGATTATTAAAGAATTTTCCTATATATTTCTATGTAAAACTTTGGTCGGCCATTTTGACCACGCCCTACCCCCGGGGTCATGATTTGAACAAACTTGAATCTACTCTACCTGAGCATGCTTCCATATAAATAGGAATAATTATGGCTTTGTCATTCTGGAGAAGAAGATATTTTAAAGAATTTTCCTATATATTTCTTTGTAAAACTTTGGTCGGCCATTTTGGCCCCGCCCTACCCCCGGGGGTCATGATTTGAACAAACTTGAATCTTTACTACCTGAGCATGCTTCCATATAAACATGATGAATTATGGCTTTATCATTCTTGAGAAGAAGATTTTTAAAGAATTTTCCTATATATTTCTATGTAAGACTTTGGGCGGCCATTTTGGCCCCGTCCTACCCCGGGGGTCAGAATTTGAACAAACTTGAAACTACACTACCTGAGCATGCTTCCTTATAAATATGAATAATTATGGTTTGTTATTCTTGAGAAGAAGATTTTTAAAGAATTTTCCTATATATTTCTATGTAAAACTTTGGTCGGCCATTTTGACCACGCCCTACCCCCGGGGGTCATGATTTGAACAAACTTGAATCTACTCTACCTGAACATGCTTCCATATAAATATGATGAATGATGGCTTTGTCATTCTGGAGAAGAAGATTTTTAAAGATTTTTCCTATATATTTCTTTGTAAAACTTTGGTCGGTCATTTTGGCCCCGCCCTACCCCCGGGGGTCATGATTTGAACAAATTTGAATCTACCCTACCTTAGCATGCTTTCACATAAATATGATGAATTATGGCTTTGTCATTCTTGAGAAGAAGATTTTTAAAGATTTTTCCTATATATTTCTATGTAAAACTTTGGTCGGCCATTTTGGCCCCACCCTACCCTGGGGGGTCATGATTTGAAGAAACTTGAATCTACACTACTTGAGCATGCTTCCATATATATATGATGAATTTTGGATTTGTCATTCTTGAGAAGAAGATTTTTAAAGAATTTTCATATATATTTCTATGTAAAACTTTGGTCGGCCATTTTGGCCCCGCCCTACCCCCGGGGGTCATGATTTGAACAAACTTGAATCTACACTACCTGAGCATGCTTCCATATAAATATGAATAATTATGGATTTGTCATTCTGGAGAGGAAGATTTTTAAAGAATTTTCCTATATATTTCTATGTTAAACTTTGGTCAGCCATTTTGGCCCCGCCCTACCCCCGGGGGTCATGATTTGAACAAACTTGAATATACACTACCTGAGCATGCTTCCATATAAACATGATGAATTATAGCTTTGTCATTCTTGGGAAGAAGATTTTTAAAGAATTTTCCTATATATTTCTATGTAAAACTTTGGTCGGCCATTTTTGCCCCGCCCTACCCCCGGGGCTCATGATTTGAACAAACTTGAATTTACACTACCTGAGGATGTTTTCCCATAAGTTTCATCTTTCCTGGCACAATGGTTCTTGGGAAGAAGATTTTTAAAATATGCTACCAAATTTCATTAATTCCCAATTATCTCCCCTTGAATTAGGGCGTGGCCCTTCATTTGAACAAACTTGAATCCCCTTAACCCAAGGATACTTTGTGGCAAGTTTGGTTGAAATTGGCCCAGCGGTTCTTGAGAAGAAGTCGAAAATGTGAAAAGTTTACAGACAGACGGACAGACAGACGGACGCCGGACAAAATGTGATCAGAAAAGCTCACTTGAGCTTTCAGCTCAGGTGAGCTAAAAAGACTGACTTTATATATTTCTTTCAGGGCAACTAAAATAGATTTAAAAAACAAATTTTAATTGATACGACTGGTAAGGTTTATTCACATTTTAATTCTGCTTCTTTCTTGTATTTGGCTAGGACTTAATAAAATACAAACAAGTAAGAAGCTTTATCATTTTATCGGTGAATCATATAATAAAACAATTATTGCTGTTTTTTTCGGTCAATACAATGATTTAGCAAACTTTGTAGTACAATATTCAATATTCTCCTCAGATGGCTAAATCATTGTTTTGACTTTAAAAAACAGCAATAATTGTATAATATTCTTTATTTACAAGACCTTCAATGTATACCGGGTATTTTAACATTTTATATCTTAGGTACAAATTAATTTAATTTAATCAATATTTAATTATGTAAGTAAGATTACATAATTGGATTGGACATCACATTGCCTATACATGTATAAGTCCTCGCCAATATCAAGGTTACAAATGTTAAGAATTGACAATGATTTACAATTACGAAAAAAAAAATCCTTATAAGTTACATTAATTTCTTATGTTATCTAAGGTGGGAAAAGAGAAAATAAAGAAAATGAATCCAATTACATTATACAGAAGCGTTATTACTAAGTACGTATATATGGTATACTCGCTATACAATATAATGACAAGAACATGAAAAAGTGCAAACAAACAGCTAAACAGAAAAGAAAACAAATAAAGTGCAAAGAACAAATATGTAAAGAAGATTACAAAAAAGAAGGAAATAGTGACATTAAAAAATAAATAAATTTTGATCAAGCAATAACACTGAGTAAACTTAGGTACAAATTGTAAAGGAGTAAAATAAATCGCATGAAAAAATGCAAAGATATTTTTCAGAATGGAAATATATTATTGAGAACCTCTTTCGTTTTTAAGATCAATTTCCAATGTATAACAAATACAAATTTCTTTTACAGATATTTTACCCAGAATAGCTTTCAGTGCCGATGCACCGTCAGATTATAAAAACCTATCCCTACACCATACTCTGATCTTTGGACGTGTCATTTTAAACCAAGGAAACCAATACCATCACACTACAGAAATCTTCACTCCTCGCGTTTCTGGAGTATACGTATTTTACGTACAGCTAGTGGTAAGTTTAAATGGAGATGTCCACACTGAGCTAGTCGTAGAAGGAGTAAGAAAAGGTGGACACTATGTACAAAGCCACACTCCAGGAGGGTATTATAATGGAGGAGGAATGACCATCGTCCATGTTAATGCTGGGGACTCCGTCTGGGTTCGACTTGGAACGCAGCATGGGACGAACAGCTTTGGATGGGAAAGCAGCTTCTCAGGATTTCTGTTATATGAAGATTAATAAAAATCTTGCTTAGTACGAGGGTAATTCAAAAAGTTCGTAGACTTTTGTCATAACTTTTTTTATTTAACGTCATATTTAAACCAAAATTGGTACATATATTTTAACAACAGATTCAAATATTTTGAGCAAAGAAATTTGAATATATCTTGGTGTTTGTCAAAATTATCAAAGATTTAAGACAGTAAAAATGGGGTCACGGAGCAGGGTCAATATTGAGTTATTGACTGATTATTCGCTTTTCATATCTATAGCCATACCTCTTTAAAATTGTCCTTAAATGAAATAAAATTCACATACTTAAATTTACTATTGTTTCATTTCTTCAAAAGCAAAAAGTTAATGTAATACATTGCTTTGTTTAAAAGATATCCATTTATATAGACAGATAGTCTTAATTTAAATAAGCAAAAAATCATGACGTTGAAGGACGTCACGGAGCAGCGAGTAGCAATATAATTTTGTTTTGCATTTGGAAACTTAAAAAAAAACTCCGAAAATGCTGGAGAGACCAGGAAAAATACATAAAATGAGCCGTGTATTTGTTTATAATAGAACAGACAATTTTTGAGGGGTAAAGACTTTAAATTGGGTGATGGGCGTTCTGCAAGAAACAGATTATAGTTCAAAATCTTTTCAAAAGAGTTAGTAACGTGATGTGCACTTCACTGTTGCGGAACCTATAAGAGCAGAGTTACATGGTAAAGGATTTGAAAACATTGACAATCTTATTTAAATTATACTCAAATTATTGATAGCATACTAGGTGTCAAGTGTTGTGGAAACGTTTTAATGAATGAGAAATACGATACAAACCATGTATAAAATGAAAAGGGCCCTGTGAGTTTGAGAAATGTTCTTTAACGTTGTTTTTGACGTTACATTGTTTTTGATCGTGCTCCGTGGCGACAAAACATGTTGCATTTAAAATTGTCTAGTATGAGTTCCGTTTAATCAAATAGAATGAAACTTCAGAAATCTATGAAATATATCTTTTTACATTTAAAAATATACTATTGGACTTTTACGAGAAGCACTGACTTTTACAGTTGACGGTTTACTTGGACATTTAAACTTTTATCATGTACGGAGGTACAGAATTGATAACACATAAGAAAACCTTTCTAGTGGTCAGATGTATGGTGTAAGGGGTATTTGCATGTGAAGGCCGGGAATTCACGGTAGTTGGTTTTGTTTTCTTCAAGGACAACATATATGTGCACTGAAATTACCCGTTATTTTCGCTAAATTAAAAGTTAAGCTAAATATTTATATCGTAAGAGAGCTTCCGTATATTTTTCTAGTGTAAAAGTAAGCGTCAACTGTAAAAGTCAGCACTCCTCTTAAAAGTCCGATATTAAGATTTGTAAAAAATAATGTGATGATAAGGAACATTGTCAACGTATTTTTTGAATGACCCTCGTATGTTTATAAAATTCACCTGGCTTGGTATTTCATGCTAAAGTTTATATTACACATTTCTGATTTTTTTTTACATGTAAACCTTCACTGATTGAGATTTAAAAAAAAAGTTAAGTTTATACTTTATGGATCCTCGAAATCCCTCCCCATCCATGCACTTTTAATACAGGGACAAAGAAATTTTAGAAGAGGCCCTTGTGTTTATAATAATCAGTTATTTTGCAATTAATTTTCAATCGTCAACTTCCCTTACTTATGCAGCAATATACCTTATTCACCTGCATATGGAGTGTATATATCTCAGTTGATTCGATACGCAAGAGCATGCTGTACGTACAGTATGAACAATTTCTAAAACGAGGTAAATTATTGACAAGCAATTTGATGAAATAAGAATATCAGCCGTCTCGTTTAAAGTCATCATTTAGTAAGTTCAATGGTCGATACAATGACCTTGTCAGCAAAATAAATGTAAAATATATCATAAAGTCATTTGCTGACTGACGTTTTTCATACTTATTGTTAATCGATATTGAATTGACGATGAATTCTTCCGTTATTTCCCAGACATGACAAGGAGCACACGGTGGGTGTGACCAGTCAGCAGGTGATGCTCACTCCTCCATAGCACCTGATCCCACCTCTGATGTTTTGGTTAACTGTGTTTACTCTTGTCCTATTTTGTATTGTTTTGTGGACTTTAATATTGAATACTGTTCGTTATCTCCATATCGTCCTATCCATCATACCAGGTGCATAGAACAAGATTTTCAAAGAAATGATTGTTTTCTAACGTCTTAACTTATGACCAAGGTAAAAAATAAAATTCAAGGTCATGAGGAAAAATTTGTTTGTTCCCAAATGATGGTATTCTCACAAAGAATATACAAGTTAAATTTGATTGATTAATTGATTGTTTAACCTCCCTCTCGAGAATTTTTCACTCATTTGGAGACGCCACTATATTTGCCGGTGGAGAGCTGCAAATTTTGTCCTATACTCGGCACTCATGGACATTGTGCAGGGAGCAAGGGATCTTTTTCGTGCCAGCACCTACAGCGACACGTGACCTCGGTCTCATCCGAAGGACCGATCTCCACGTCCAACAGTGGGATTTGAATCCACGACGTAAGAATTGACACCTTACTAAGCAACTCTAGAGCAGACACTCTAACCACTGCGCCACGTGGGCAACAGTTAAATTTGAAAGCACCAGCATAACCTATACTAAACATATGGCTTAAGATATAGTTTTCTGGCTAAAGGTCGGGAGGTGCAAAATATTGATTCAAGGGGGAAGTCTTGTCAAAAGAACTACACATGTGCAATACGAAAGCCCTAGTACAAGCTTTTAAAATTCTGGTAAAAGTTCAAGGTTTTTTCAAATGTAATTTTTTATCAATGCCAAGGTTTAAAGGTAAAACTTTTAATAGGCAAGGGATGTTCATGTCATGGGATACATTTGTGTAAAAGTACAAGCACCAAACGCTCAATGTTCAAAAGTCTTAAGCAAGGTTAAATTTCTACGAAAGTAGCTCAATTTTCAAGGTAGAAGACAAATCGTCACAAATGTTGATACCCAAAGGAAGGTCTTGGCGAAATAATACACAAGTGAACCATGAAAGAAATTCTACATCTCCTCTTTTAGCCATCTTGACAAGGTCATTGTTTTTCAGAAGTTGGTTAAACTTTAAAGTCACAGTCATTTTGTTGGTTTCAGCAAAAATAGAGTAAAATTATTAAACATAAAAAAATAAAGATGGAAGAGATGAACCATACCTTGGAACAACACGCTAGAGCTACTGGAATTAGGGCTAGGGATGATATAATGTAACTGGCAATGTCTAGTTACAGTAATGAAACAATTCAACAAAATAAATCAGTGACTCGGAAACCCACTTCTGTGAAATAAAATGAATGGAGCAAAGAGCTCTGACTTGTAATTCAATTCAAAGATTAGCTTCTGAAAGGTAGATTAAGTTAAATTAAATTAAATTCTAAATTTGTTACCGTCGTAACGACCGGATGTAGATAAAAGAAACTTTGCTGCGCCGATTATTTCCTTTAGTAATTCTAAAGCACTAAAGTGTAAAAGGATATTAAAAGTAGAGCAACGGTGTAAGTAGATAATCTTATATTGTTGATAGAATTATTCTATATGTGTATATTCTTAACAATAATAGGAAAGGTAGTACTTAATTTTTTGCGTGCATTGGGATTACGAATTTGTAGTACTTATGAAGCAAAATATTACTTTAGAAGCTGTGTAATGTGTATGGTTTAGCATGTTCTGAAGATTCATTTCTTTGTAATGAACGCAAAGATGTGAATCTGTACAGCTGACCTTGTATGTCTTTAATGTTACTCCGTGCTTCCTTCTGGTGAATATCAGCTTTCTCTGAGAATGTATCTTTTGTGTGTGTGTGTGTGTGTGTGTGTGTGTGTGTGTGAGGGTGGGTGTGTGAGTGTGTGTGTGGGTGTGTGGGTGTGTGGGTGTGTGTGTGTGTTTGTTTTTTAATACATATTATTAAAGCCGACCTGGTCTTAGGGATCTATAATCAAAGGCCTGAAGGGCCTGAGAGTCGACTCGCTCTTCATTTGCTGTTGAAAGTCTTTTAGGAGAGAACTGCACACATTTGTGCAACTTGTGTCCATTCCAACAGAAACTAAATAATTAGATTTTTTCCAAGTCGAAGGGGAATAACCCTGACAAAAATGATGCAATCAAATCAAAATAAAACTTGACTTAGATATTTAGCTGATAAATCTGTATACTAGTATTAAATTTCATTTCAATATGTGCTATCTCTGTGAAGAAAATGAATTGAGACTGCAAATAATTGGAATATTTCTATTCCAAGGGGCATAACTTTGTAAAAATTGGTGTAAATGTACCCAAAACAAAACTTGACCTAGATACTCATTAAAGAATCTGAATACCAAATTTCACTACAGTACGTGCAGTTGTTGTTAAGAAAACGAACGGAAACTAAATGGATCGACAGGCCTACAGACAGGCAGCAGCAAAACAATATTCCTTCCTTGATCTCAATTACAATTTAGGCAATTACTATGAACAAAGGTAGTTGGTTTAAACTATAATTGCATCATTGTCTTGTGGCATTTTTTTTTACAGCTAACCAAGACTTCTAAAATAACCATATTGAAACATCATTTTGAACACAAGGATTTTAAAAAATATATAAATAAATTGGAAAACAAACTTTGTTGTAAGAACAAAATTTATTTAACAAAGATTACTTTAACTACATGTAAGACTTGAAACATACATAGAGATTACTAAAAAAAAAATGCCAGGAAATTTTTAGAACAAACAGGATGAGATATCTTCTAAATGTCAAATTACAAATCTTTTGTTAATTGTATAAAATTTTAAGTGTTCAAAAGTCAAATTATAAACAATGAGGAACTGACAGTTCTACTGGTTACCAATTTCTGGACAAAAAGGTTATTCTTATCACTGAATAAAACACAAACACATGCAAAGATGTACTCAAAAGTGGAAAAAGAACTAAGAAAATAATTAAAAATCATACAAAGTCCAATGTTTATGCATTATTACACTGGGAAGGCATTCCGTCTTTTTTAATTATATGTTTTAGATGCCAGA